TGATCTCAGTAGTGATTCTTTCTACTGTCTGTCATTCAATTCTTACGATGTTAGTTCGGAAAATTTTGTATTGGATCAATTAATAACCCCTTGATATATATTTTTCTTTATTCTCATAACTTGTCTGTCTGATGTTGTATCAATATTGTAAGGAGAAATTCTGTCTTGGTCACTCATGGGAGTTAAAGAGCTAAGTTACCATTGTTTAGTGACCACATATGACGTCATAACGATTTGGAGAAATGTGTGGTGCGCGGTGCTGTCGTTCTCTCGTACCCAGATCCTACTCCATTTCTACGGGAGATATTAACAGATAACCAGAGCTCTCGTTATTTTCCCTGGTCGCACGAAAATGTTTTGAAGGCTTTAAAATGCTTTTACAGATTCGTAAATAGTTATTTTTAAATTTCAAGACAAGGCCAGGGAAGATCAAGCCGGAAGCTTGATCTTTTGATGAGCCAAGAGTCAATCTCGTTCTTAGGATTATTTTACTCTTTACGGTGGCCAATTTACGTTTTCAACTCAGTTGTTAACGCTAGGGGTAAGTTTCTAAAGAAACTGTGGTGCTGCGTCGGTGGGATATACGTATATAAGCTGTATATAAGCCGTCCCACCGACGCAGCACCACAGTTTCTTTAGAAACTTACCCCCTTTATTCATTCATAGGAGTCCTCGCTCTTTTGGCCCGTAACGAGGGCTGCATTAGGAGAAGATCGGCCTGAGGTCTTGACAAGTCGTTGGCCTGATCTAGAAATGGCGCAGCGAGATCCTCATTAAAATATCGAAGTTCCCATATTTTCCAATTACGGTGTTCTTCTTCTAAGAGCAAGTAAAAGCAGTCCAAAACTACTTTAAAAGGACCTTGGTCAATAGTTCAAAATACAACCATGTAACAAGGTAAGTCAATTACATTTATAGGAAAGACCATTTGTATTTTTGAAATAAAAATCCTCGAGTTATCACACAAACCCTTATAAATAGCGTCACTGTAACACAAGACCGCCTGAGCTAGCTAGAGTGACTGTCTCACCTGAATCTCCTTTACGTAATGATTGGTGGGAGTGGGAAGACTGGGGAACGTGGGCGATGGAAGTCCAGGCCTGGCTGCATACTAATTTCATTACGTCACGTTGTTGTTGTTGGCAAGAAACAATAATGGCGTTAGGAACTGTGAGCTGCTTCTTTGATGGTTACCGGAAAAATGGAAAAGAGGGTGAAAATGCCTTGAAGTTAGTCCGAGAGAACATATCAAACTCAATTAAGAGTTCCTCTTTAGGTAATAACTCATTATAGCCTTGCTTTGTAAAAAACCAGTCGCCTGTGCAAACTCAGTGTAATATCCATTGTAACTGAAGCGTTGCATAGGGTAAATAGGTGCCTAAGTAGTTTTAAATATCTATTCAGGAAAGTACTCGAAATACTGTGATGTACCAGAAGACGAAATAAATAACTGGTTGGACTCTTTACTGGGGAAAGATCGTTTGAATGTGGAGCAAAAAAATGAAATACGATGTCAGCTTTGTCAGTGTTTGGTAAGTACTACTCAGCTTCGTGTCAGTTCGTGCTTCGACTTCGATCATTGCAAGACTTGAGAGATTATATTGATTAGATTTTTTAACAGCGTTATTACGTAAAATTTTTTTTGCTAATAACGTTTATCGCGCATATAAGCTGTACAATATTTGTCGAAGGAATCGTTTTCTCTTTGATAACATACAAGCCGGTTAGTTTGCAATAATCTTAATTACGTAGATGATCAAGGTTTCTATTACGCAAATTTAATATACTGTTTAAGGTATTATTTACTCGTGAAAATGATCTTACTCGTTTTTTTGTGTATTTGGACTTTATACACACGTCTCAAAACGGGAATCTTCTTTTTTATTGACTTGCAGAAGAGAATTGATGAAAAGTCTTGCATAGCTTTGTGGAAATACTGGCTTCGACCGGTAAGGTACTTGTTTTAACCTCGAATGAAGACGTGGTTCTTGGGAGTGACGAGATATTCACAAACTTTTTGAAACAGTTATACGTTCTTTCACTCATCCTTGATTTACCCAGGAAGTCAAAGATCTTCCCAGCCTGAATCAACTCACAGTAAAATAATACAGTGTACCTTGTCATATGTAGAGCTTGGCCCATTTCATTGGTAATGTAATATTATCAACTGAGTTGATAGCATAAATTAATCACAGAAAAAGAAAGAAGTTGAAAGCTGACATTCGAGCATTAGCCCTTTTTCAGAGCAATTGTAGTGAATTGGTGTCCACATAACCCTCTAACTCCCATGAATGACCAAGACAGAATTTCTCCTTACAATATCAATACAATATTGATCAAATAGGTGATGAGAATAAAGAAAAATATAAGTTTGAGAATTTACTAGTTGATCCAGTATCAAATTCTCAGAACTAGCATCATAAGAATTGTATGGCAGACAGAAAGGAGAATTACAAATGAGCTCTGGGGCGTTAAAGTTTTAAGGAGGCCCAACAGTTAACCCATCAACTCCCAATATCTCATTTGGTATCTCCTTTCTTACCCACATAATTCTTGTGTTGTTGCTCATGAAAATTTGGAATTAGATCTACTAATAATCCCTGAAATGATATTTTTCTTCAATCTCATTACTTGTCTCCTCAGGGAGAAATTCTGTCTTGGTTGCTTGTGTAAGTTAAGGAGTTAATGAAAAAAACTGGTTGTTGAATCATTTAAATTGTGTGAGTTGTAAGCATCATATTTGTCCTTACAGTGTTACTATGGAATCAAACATCATGGTGGTGGGAATAAAAGATATCCCTGTCCATCAAAGGTGTACCATCACCACCTCATTAGGTTCCCTTGAAATTTTACCAGAATTCATCTATACTCCTGAGAGGGGTTTTGTGACTTTTTTTTTTAAATCACAAGACGGTGCAAGGTGTTTTGTCCCAGAAATCCAATCAGCGTATTCACCCAAAGTGAAAACATGGTCCTTTCAACATAAAGGTCAGGGTTCTGTGCTACCAAAGTGAGATATCACACAGTCATCAACAAATCAGAGCACAAGAATCTCTATAATTCCCAGTGTCTGAAAATTTTTAATACGATCAAGTCTTAACAGAACTATTATATTATGAATTCAAATTAATCTTTGATTTTTTTTTCAGGTCACAAATCCCATATCGGCATTACTCATTGTTGATGCTCAAAATGACTTCATGAGTGGGTCTCTGGCATTAAAGCACTGCCCTGCTGGTGAAGATGGTGAGGAAGTAGTGGCAGTGATAGAAGATCTGTTGTCTAAAAATCTATTTAAAGTTGTTGGTTACACATTTGACTGGCATCCACCAGATCATTGTTCCTTTATAGACAATGTGTCATTGTATCCTCTGCACTCCACTAGTCCTGTTAGTTCAGCACAAGCCAAACTATTTGATGTTGTGGTTTATGACAAACTTCCTCTCATCAATCAAATTTTGTGGCCAAGACACTGTGTTATAGACAGTTGGGGAGCTGAGCTCCACAAAGGAATCAAGGTATAGTTTTGGTTAACAAAAAAAATTGGATTTCAATTACTTGCTTCTTTTTCCTTCCTATGCTGTAACCGTTGGTGCCCTCTCATTCATAGATTAGTGATCCTTTGTATGCATTGCCATAGATATTTTGAGAGCTTTAGCTAAGACCAATTTGGTGTCCTTTTGCAGAAATTTTTTCTGTATAATGAACAAAACATTGGCAGAATAAATAGTTGTCGGTCACAGACAGTGAGATCCACAGCACTGGCTGAAATAAAATCCTTATTAAAAGTAGTTTGCATTGAATTCCGGTGAGAAATAACAATAGCACTGAATTAGAAAAGTGAATAACCTTCAACAGGAACAATAAAGTCTTGAAATTTTTTTCTATTTTGTTCACGTGCAAAATGACATCAGCTGTTTCCATCTTTATGTTCAGCCTCCTGGTAAAGATGATATCACAGTGAAGAAAGGAAGCAATCCCCGTATTGACAGCTATTCTGCATTTTGGGATAATGCTGACTGTGTCCAGACTTCGTTATTTGTTGATCTTCTCAAACATGGTGTTACAGATGTCTACTTGTGTGGTTTAGCTTTTGATGTTTGTGTGAAACATTCAGCAATTGATGCTTTGGAGCAAGGGTTTAAAACTCATGTTATAGTGGATGGCTGTCGTGGAGTGTCACCTGATGGAATTGCTGAAACAATGAAGGAGTTTTTAAAGAATGGAATTGTGCTAATTGAATCTAATAAGGTATGTTTAACTTGAATTTTTGTACATGTAGACACTATAATACAGTGTAACCACAGGTGTAGTAATAACACATCTATAACCATTTCATTCCCAGATCTCATTAGCATTATTACCCTTACTGTCTGCTGAATAATTTGTAGGAATTTAGAATCACTTGATATTCAGTCACCATACTTTTAAATGCAAATTTTAGGGTTAGAGTAAATTGCTACAGGTAATATAAAAATATAAAATGAAGATTATCTTAATGAAATCATTTTGCCTTGATCATTACTCATTTCAGGTTTTTTACATATTTTGAAGTTACAGTACATTTGCGTTTCTTTTTTTGATAATTTGACCAAGGATCAATAAATTTTTCATGCTTTTCGTTGCCTTTTTTTTTTTAATCTGTTGGTTCCCAACTGGCACTTTTTTGTTGAGATTTTAGTGGCCAATGATATTTTTCACTTGCCATGGCGACCAAAATGGTTGCAACGTGGAGCACTGAATGTATTAATATTATAGGGAGAAGTTACTTGTTAATCTTATCTGGAAGTTAAAGGGTAAAATACTCCTAAGTTTCCTTACCAGACCCCTCTCTGGCAAGGAGTTTTACTGGGTACAGCCAAATTGAAGGAAAAACTTGTCAAAAACACTTAGCATCAGTTCTATCTTCAGTCTTTCTTGGCCAAAAAAACTGACAGTATTTTCTTTTTTAAGGTGGAAGATGCACTCAGGAACAAGAAAGAGCAAGGTCATAAAGTGGCGTGAAAGTAATATCAGCAGGCAATTTCTGCTTCATAAATATTTCTTTACTTTATTTTGATGAGTTTTTTTATACTTTTTTTGTTACTAACTTATGGTGCAGATTCTGTCTGGATTACTAGGAGGACAGTCGGGTTTGGTTCAGAATTAAATTAATATTGGTGTGCAAGATTAAATTATATAGTCACATTTTGCTTGAACAAAAGTTTTATGGCTCTTGTGTGTTGTTGTGTGTTTCCAGTGGCGAGATATTTTTTTTGGGTACCATTATAAATTAAAAATACATTCCCATAGTAGATTAACCCTTTAACTCCACGATCTGATTGGCAATTCTCTCCTCTAGCTACTACACATTTCCTTGTAAATTGATTATGAGAATTAGGTGTTCAATCAAGGTTATAAATTATACCTGATGAGTTTGAGTATTCTCACAACTTTTTTGCTGTATAATGTACGGATACTTTAAGGAGAAGTTACATGGTAATCACTTCTAAGAGTTAAAGGGTTAAACATAATTGACATTTTATGTTTACTTATTTGTTTTGGAATATTTTTCAGCATTGTGAAAAATAAGTTCGAGTTTTTGGTAACTCTTCATGATCCTTTGTATGGTAACTTGTGTATGTTATTCACTGTTACTGAACATAATTATAACACTGCAACCTAATATTGTTATACTTTAAAATTTTGTTAACCTTTATTTATTAAATTCAACAGTTGTTCAAAATTTGAAGTTATTAGGCAAGACCAAGTCCAAATTTGACAGCAACTGTGCAATTTTTTAGTAATTTATATCTGATTTGAAGATAACGATCAACTATACAGTTTATACCATGCTGGTCATGTTTTTCAGGGACCAAAAAAAAATTGGTGGTACAAATATGATTAATATATGCTACTTTTCAATTTATCAAATAGTTTTGCTGGTGCATGACTGGTTTAAATGCATCTAAATTAAATAAGCCTTGGCATAAACTAGGGAAATATCCAGTGATATTCCCATAGTGATATTCCTTAATTTTGAAACCATGTGTCTAATGTAATGGAAGTCTTACTTCCAAAGTTCATTCAAGTGGGGAGAGCATTTTACTGTTGTTGCAGTAGAAGGGACCTATTTGTTTTTTCAATATTTGTTTTTGATAGTATGATGAATAGTTTTGTTTTGTGCACTACAAAAAAATATATGAAAGATAAATAAAACATTTTAATATATTGCATATTTGTCCTAAGACAATAATTTTGGTAGAAATGAGCTTGATGAATACTACAAACTTGGAGGAAGAGAGAAAGTCCAAGGACAAATATCTGAACATAGTGTCGCAGTAAATGGAGGCTATTTTTTAATGTGATGTTGGCCATAGTAAATTGTACTCTGAGATACTAATTATGACTAAGGAGCTAACATTAAATGGGGTCGTTTGAAAATATTGTAGGTTTTGATTTTTGCAGATCAATCCTCAAACACGTAACAACCCCCACAAAATAAATTACTGCCACAATGTCACTTCATAGTCACTGTATGTGGAATCAGTAAAAACCACAAAAAACCATCTACGCTATGCCTTCCTTATGAAGCGATAAGGACAGTTCATAGTATAAGGCTTCTTTCCCAGTTCATATTTTCCTGTTAGGACAGAAAATTACAAACAATTTTTATTTCACAGGAGAAATTCCAGTCACCTTGAGCTGCAAAAATTTGATCCTGCAAACCTAAGAAAAATTAAAAATTTACAAAATAAAATTCAAAACAACTTTTCTTAATACATTGTATGCTATATTTAACATTATTTATCATAATTGTATTGCTTGACTGGGTGAATGAGTGTTCAGAAAAAAAATTATTTAATCAGGGAATGATACATAAAATTGATAGACAATGTATACTCTCTGAGTTTATTTTTTCAGCTTCAACACAGCTTCATGTAAAGTGTGATAACTGGCAATAAAAATAGTTTGAAACTAGTCTAAAAATTTTATGATTACATTAGAAAAATTTCACAACAAATTCTGAGCATAAAGCCCCTCCTCCCTTCCCCTGTAATGTTGCTTGTGACAAAGAAATTTCTTGCAGTGTCAAGGTAATAAATGTAAACTTTGATCCTATTTAGTTCACTATCATCACTAAGCATTTTCTCCCTACTGTTCTCTATACATTTCTTTAGATGCAGTCAAGGAGAGTTTGTTTAACAATTAAGAGCTTCTTCAGTTGGTGATCATTTCCTTATTCTCATGACCTTGATGTTTGATTTGGGGGTAATTTTGTACAGAGGAATTTGGTACCAGGGTTCAAAGGGTTAACTTGTAAATGTGGCCAAAGTGGTGGCATGCAATGGAGGGTTGTGCGGACCATAAGATGGTCTACACCTACTGGCTTAACAAGTGATGATGATGATGATGAGGGTTGCTTTTGATCTTCCTGCACTACTTGCAGGGTAAGACAACATTTGCAATGATTGGAAATGTTTTAGTGGCAAGGCAGGGTAACTTTCAAGGTGTTAGGACCAGCTGCATTGTTTGCATGTAATCACTAAATGGTTCACAACTATGTACTAACAACTGTTGTTTTCAAAGCTTGAAATGTCTCAACATTAGCTAAGCATTTCTGTCATGTGGATCTCTGTATTCCAGCTTCAGTTCATGAAATATTTCCTGCTCTGATGTGGCCTCTACTTGACGAACAGGCTACAAGTAAAACCAGTACACTCATGTCAGTTACGTTACGGCAATAAAATTTAAGGTGTTGTTTATACCTCTGGATGGCTATGTGGTGATTTGAAGCCATTAGACACTGCTGTTGTTTATACCTAGAAGTGGCCAATTTGCAATTGGAAACCATTAGACACTGCTGCTTCATAATAAAAGAAGCTAGAGTAAAATAATATGCATAACAATTAACAAGTTCTCGCTGGTACTTACAATGTGTTTGTGATCCCACATTCCATGGTTAGACAATTTGACTTTCAATACCTTCCATGCATAGTCTCTCAGTGAACGATTAAATTGCTGGTAAGAGAAAAGGAAGGCAATCTATACAACTGATTGTATTCATTGACAATCCTATGTAGTGAGCAGAAGAGGGTTTGTCTTAACCCTTTACACCCCACCATCAGTATGCATGTTCTCCAGTCACTACTGTTTTCTAATGAAACATTTCCTTAGGAGCTGACTAGGAGAATTTCTTGAACAGTCAAGAGCTTCTTTACTTGGTGATCATTTCCTCTATTTTCGTGACCCTCTTATGTGATTCAGGGGTGACATTATAGGGAGAAATCAGCTGTTAGTCACTCTTAGGGCATTAAAGGGTTAAGAGCTATTCTTAATTGCCAAGCTATGCATCAAGGCCCAGTTGCTCAAAGGCCTATTAGTGCTAATCCAGGGTTAAATTTTTATCCAGGTTTCCTTATTTCTTTTTTCCAAATACTTTGTGAAAAGGGTGGATAATTCTATCTATTGATAAATTTATTGGATCAATATCAGTATCTGGGCAACTGCCCACCTACCCCTCCCCTAACTCAACATTAACCTTAACTTATTGTCAATTGACTGTTGTTGAGTCATGATCCAATTTATTTTTATGTGGTTAGAGGACTACCTTTTGATAACACTTATCCACAGAATAGCAATTTATCTAATGGATAGTGTTATCTGCCCTTTGAAAAACTGAGCTCTGGTCTTGGAAAAAATTTGAGCTCTCTGGTAAGAAGGCAGAGAAGAGAGCTTGATGCTGGGGATTCTCAGAAAGAAAGCTCCCTTTGGTTGATGTCTACATTAGATATCATGGGTTGCAGCTAAGAGGGCTGCCTTATAATTTAGGCAGAAGGGGAAAGGGGGCTTATAACTGAAATTTTACATTGCTGAAAGACAGAGTCATGTACCTTAGAACCAGTCCACCCTAAGAGTGCAAATGGAAACTGTTTATGTGGAGCCACAATCAAATCTACTCTCCTCACTGCAGCTGCCATCTGCTCAGAGGAAGAAGAACCTGTGGATGTGCCTGTCTCGTCAGCTTCACCAGTGGTTTGCATACATGAATGTTCTACCTTCTCATTTTCAAAACTTTTCCCCATTTGGAACATACAGAAGCAATGATCAAGAGTGTCCATATGGCCTCCCTGCCTGGTGAAAATAGAGCAAACCACTAAAAGTAATACCTGCCAGGCTAACTAAACAGTTACAAGCCTTCTAAAGCATGTGATAACATACCTTTGACTTCCTTCACTGATTCCCTTGACACTCTTCAAATACAAAGTTTTACTTTCAAAGTGTGGGTTACGGCCTACCATCAAGTCCTTATGAAGAATATAACCCTAAACAATGTGACACTGAGATAGTCAGATTTGTTGATTGCCTGTAACCGAAAAGGAATAACACCTCCATGATCTCTAAAACTTACCAATTTTTCAAGCCTTTCAACCAATTTATGTAAAAGTCCTTCCACCTTGTTATTGTTCTGGTGTGTGATCAGAATGTCCACATCATGCCCAGAAAGTTTGCCTCTGTAAGATTAAATAAAGAGACTTTTCTGTGCTACCTTAATGTTTATTTGAGTTCTCAATTAAATAAATACAGCTATCTGGTGATACTTCTTGACTACTGATCTAATGTGAAATTGAAAAAACATATAGGAGTGTTGCTTCACTCCACTAGACAACAGAAAATTAATATTTGAAAAAACATATGCTGCGATTAATGTTTGTTCACAGCTTAGAAGATGCATGGGTATATTTTATTTATTCATCAGTTGGTGAAGTGAGGTTGGATTGGGTTCAAGAAATGACATAATAAAAATGAATACAGATAGGAATCGGAATACAGATGAAAATTTCATTTAAGATGGTAACAAACTGAAAAAAAAGTGAATACAAAACACCTTTAAAAAGAGAATATATAAAAATTAAAAAAACCTTTTTTGCCACAGTTTAGTATCTGCTTCTATTTTGGCCTTCACGATGGTAAATGGTATTGTTTTTTGAACTAAAGCTGTGAACATAAACTAGGTTCCGCACAGCAGTGCTGCACACATGGCATGTGGCATGTTTGATTGTGTATCAGTGGCATCAAAATAGGCTACATAATAATTATTATGATAATGATGATAATGAAACCAAGATACAAAGTAACGCTAAGTAATAAGATAAAAACAATTTGTTCACCTACGGTAGCCTCCAACCAACTCCACAATACAGTTTGGTTGAATTTTGGATAGCTGTGGAAAGAGTGTTGCAAAAGAAAATTGTTAGTAGGTTTGTTATCATTAGTTAGTAATATTTAACAATTATTTACCTCAGTGTTTGTGGAATTGGTGGATATCTACCTCGCTGCCTTGCGGCTCAGTGAATATCCACAGTGATCACTATTGACCTACACTTCATATATACCACGAGATACCAAAAATTAATTTATTTCTGTCAATATACGCAAAAATGGTAATAATCTAGACTCTTAATGCACAATTTAGTCTCATTGGCTACTCAGAGGTAAATAGTACTTGCTATAATTAAATTCAGAACTAGCCAATCAGTGTGCACGAAAAAACACTATTCACTTGTGTGGTGTATACACTCTCCTTTCTTGCAATCCTTTATGAGAATATGCACCAAAAAATAAAATTATTATTAATAACTATAATGGTATTAAAGATGAATTGACACCTTTGTATTATGTAGGCACAAGCAATAGTCCAGTTAAAAGAAATAAAACACCTTTCACCACTTAAATAACCCTACCTCTTTAATAACTATGTCCTTGATGTTCATAGCTTCCCCTTTTGGAACAGGTTTAACCAGATCACTGTGATACTTAAAACCTGTAAATTATTAAATGTATTTTCCATTATTGTTCACATTTGAGCTTAAACTACAAACTGAAGGCAAGGATTTACAAGTTAGTGAAGACACAGAATGCAATTGCATAATAGACGGCATGGCATCCTGGCCAGTGAGAGTGTCTTAATATTTCATTGTCTTAGCAGCCATGTTGAAACTGATTAAAAGTTCCATGTTTTAATTACAGACTGAGAATGTTTCAACAATATGCATTGCAAACCATTTACCCATGGTCTGTTGTTCAGTGAGTTTCATTCCATCTGACACTGCATGAAGTACATCAGCTATGCTGCGGTAGCCTTTCTCATACCACTTCCGAGCTGTAGCAGGTCCACATCCATAAATAGATGAGAATACCTGTGAATGTGATATCACAGTTCAAAAGGTGTTAAGTGTCTACTGAATTGCCCTCCTGACTGCTTTACTAGGTGCCCAACTAACTGACCACTAACTCACTCAGTGACTCATTGACTGAATATCTAACAGACTGACTGACTGTCTGACTGACTGACACAGACAGACCAACTAACTAACTCACTCAACGACTTGTTGGTTGACTGACTGACAGACTGGCTGACTGACTGACAGACTGACTGACTTACAGACTGACCGACTGACTGACAGACTGACTTACTGACTGACTTACATTCTGACTGACTGACAGACAGACTGACTGACTGACTAACTGACTGACTTACAGACTGACCAACAACCAGACTGACCAACAACCTCTCTCTCTCTCTCCCTTCCTCCCTTCTTCACTAACTCTCACCTACTAACCAATTTATAATTCACAAACCTCCATGGTCTTGAAAAATTCACTGCTTAAGATATCTTGAACTTCATCTGATGAGCCATTTTCAAGAATTTCCTGTTTCAGCAAGAAGAATAATAACTAGGGTATACAAATTGAAAAACAATTCCAGATTAATTTTATTCAATAATTGACAGTATCATTTAGTACTTAAAAATAATCAAATATGGACAAACTTGCCTGTATCACTTTCTTGCTATGATTTCCAACACTGCTCAGTTTGGATGCCTCCTCGATTCTAGTGATCTGTCTGAAATGCATTTCGGTTCAATCAAAAAAGAAATAGATTGAGCTGAGGGGATTAAGAAAGTGATTACAAAGAATAAGTGAATATAATGATGTTTTTTTTTTTTCTAATACATTTTGTACCATACTTTGGGTAGGACTTGAGTGCACAAGCAGCTCGTCTGAAAGCAAGCGCTCTGGAATCCCTTTGAGTACTGTCCACATACACTGCATGCCGTTCAAGTATTTCTAATGCATCCTGAAGAAATTAGAGGGGCAAGATAACATATCATTAACTCTTTTGTCAAAATGCAACCATGCAAGTTCATAAATTTTCACTTAGATGCACATATTTTCAGTCTTGCTTTCAACAAAAGAACCAAAGTGAACAGAGAGAAACATGCAATTTTTTTAATCACATTGTACATTAGGATTAGCAACATTAAATCTACATGCAACTAGGCAAAGGTAAAGTGTAAAGGAGGTAAGTTTCTAAAGAAACTGCAGTGCTGTGTTGGTAAGAAAGTATACCCTTGTCATCACTTTGTGGCCTCACACCCCTGGAGCCTATCCCATTTTCTGCAGCATGAAGCAGCTAAGAGAATTGCTACTCTTCCTGGCTGTGACACTGGTCCACTGCATGTACCCTCATGGATTTAGACAAGTTTCCAAGACAGGTTACCAGTACTCATTCATTCTCCTGGGCAGAGAATGGCACTGTAAGGGTTGACCACAAATTGATCACACCATGACTCACAAATGAACCTTGCTTAAAACCAAGTCCCGCAAGCTAACCATAATGCCACTACATCTCCCTTCGCACCTTACTTCAATCTTACAAAACTACTTGTCTGAATGGCCACATTAAGGGAAGGTTTGTTTAGTTTAGCTTTCATAATGACCTTCACCCCATACTCACAGTAAATTTGGTATTATGGTGTTTCAAAGGTGTAGCCCTCTGGCAAACAAACTTGTTGTCCTGCAAGGGAAAAATGTGAAGTCTAAAAACTTATTAGGAAAATCAATTAATATATTATTGGATAGCAAAGACATAACTATAATGTGGATAAGAGAATTATAACATTGTACTACCTGATATTCATTGGGTGAGGTTTCTTCCAACTTATTGCTTTCTGCCCTTGCAACACTGCGAAGTTAACATATTTAAAATCACATTTCAATGCTAGTAGTGAAGAGGCCTGGATAAGAAAATTTTAATGCATGGATCTAACTGCATCGGAGAATGAAATATACCCTGAGAATATTCTGTTGTAGAAGGCATCATGCTGAACAGCATGAGAGTAATTATCAGTAGTTATGAACCAATCTTCCTCTTTTAATTCTACTCATAAAAAAGTTTGATCTATCACTGACATCTAGGCACTTAAGTGTTACATTGTCTTCAGCTGTTATATTGATCGTGACGTTTTCATAATTAAACTTACTACTAATTACACAGTTGCTAAATACCACAGCTTGGGTGCAGTTCTCACACTCATGAAAAGAAAATGTTCATCTTACATCAGCTCATGCATGCTAACAAATATCTTGTGCCTGGAAATATCACTTTATTAAAGGTAAGTCAAAACTCAATCACTAAGAACCAAAATCTTTGGTTTGGGAAAGGAAAGCAATGAAGACCTGTTTGCTCTTCAGGGCACCTTTGAAGTTAATTCAAACAACTTAATTAAATTTTATTTGAAAGATCTTGGGGAATTTTTAGAAATTTTCAGGCATGAATAGTTTACTGCTAGCATGCAGGTACTAATTTGAAGATAAAAATTTCTGGCTAAATTTTTCTCCAAAAAAGTTGGCAGGTAAAACATACCCACTAGATTTCTGTGAACTTAACTCCCCAACTGACTTGATCCTGACCTTATCAGTAACATTTACTAACTTGTTTTCTGTTATACAGTCAGTTAACCCTGTTGAACAGTCAGCAAATTAAAATAAACTTAATAATATTCTAATCTTAACAATCAATCAAATGGCTACAACTTGGTGAAATAAAAAGTTATTAATAGGTTACGCACTCTAAATCTATCAGCTAAATACCTGGAGTCTTGAATACAAGTACTTTTTTCTTGTACATACTAATCAATCCTCCAGAGATTTAACATGTACTTTGGATAAGAACTTCCTAGTCATATTCATTCCTTGACATCACAGAAATTAAACCACCAGTACATTCAAAGAGTAAAAAAACAATGTACAGAAATAAGTTGATTTTCCAAACAAACTCTGGTGTGAGAAGCTAGATGTAATTTATCAATAATGCAAATGCATACCCTGCTACTTACAATCAAGATTTACTACTTCTACATTGCTTGCGGGCTGCCTGATGATAAAAAAAGTAATCCATTATTGTAACACTGATATGAAAAAAATATCTCTAAAGTGTGTGGGCTGCCTGATGATATCAAAAAAAGATTCTTTTTACAAATCCATTATTGTAACACTGATATGTTAAAAAAGGATTTTATCTTTTAGTAGTGTGTCCAAAGTTTTATTTATTTAACTGCAACTTTGGGAAAAGGTTGGCAAATGGGTATATTCCTTACTCTGGAGAAGAAACCAGTACAGAGAAGATGCAAGAACAGAGCCTATGGTTTATCATCCATGTCTGAGAAGACCAGAATGTGTAACCATTTGAATATGTTGTAACAATGGCAACACATTCTCCTTAGTTTTTTTAAGACCCTGAATGTTGGTTTTGTCTGGGGTTTTTTCACTAGATTTCCCACACGACAGTCAGGTTTTCCACAACATGAGTTATTAACCCAGCACGGTTGTGACACTCTGAGGTCTCACACCTCATAGCTTTTAAGATGCATTATAAAAATCAATAACAAAGATACTGTGCATACTCTTGTTAGTTAACAGACACATTTAGATGAAAGCATGTAAACATAGTTGTGATGTTTCAGATGTGAGCATATATTTGACAATGATTTTTTCAGCCATAGAGGACTTAATCCATTTTAAATTAGTTTAATCTTAAAACTTGTTATGCAAACCCTTAATCACATTTAGTTTGAATAGGTTTCTCCCAATCCATTCATGTCTAAATGAGAATTTTGGAACATGGATTAATTCATCTATTTATTTCTTTATTTGGTTACCTTTCTAGGAAAGCATGAACTCTATCCACAGTTTCATACCCAGTGACTATGTGTGTCACTGAATCACTGAAAAGAAACATTTTAAGACATTATATATCCAAAGTCAAGTGACAGTCAATTGTGGCAAAGGCAGTACTTTTTCTTCAAGCCTCTGCAAAACATAAGTAGGAAAGCATAAACTCTATCCAAAGTTTCATACCCAGTGACTATGTGTATCACTGAATCACTGAAAAGAGAAATTTTTAAGACATTATATTTCCAAAGTCAGGTAACATTGAATTGTGGCAATGATAGTGCTTTTTTTTCTAGTCTCTGCAAAACATAAGTATGTCCCAAGAAAATCTGATGATTTTCAATTCTAGGACAAAGGAAGAAAATTTTGTACAAACGCTGGCAAGCAATGTCCAACCAATTGTTATGGTTGACTTCATTTGATAACTAGCTGCTTTGTACCTAATGTCCCCCGCTGGGGGGCATTCAGAGAAAGTGCAGGTCGCGCTGAATATTGTATGCATGATCTCAAAATGTCATAGCACACTGATTTTTCAGTACTATTTACCACGTGCCAAAATTCCTCCTACAGTTCTCTCTCTCTTCTTCCTCGAGGAGATACCCTGTTGCCCTCCAGTCACACCGTACTAACAACTCAGCTGATGTCTCGGCATACAAACCTGAAACGTTCCGACAGGAGAAACCCTTTCTTCTGCGCCAGATTGTTCAAGACTTGCAGCCTTGCTTTAGGAATCTTTTTAGGGACGATATAGATGAGTGCATCGGCAAGCTTTGTGGTAGTATTCCGCTCATTGTCACGCTTAACTTTACCATTACTATCCTGATCTATCTTTAAACGCTTAGCCGCCATCTTGTTTCCCCGCCAAATGTTTTGATCACCAGTCTCTGCGCTGTCGTGATGTGTACAAAACCTTAAAAACTCAACAGGTGGCCAAAGCTCGCTCGATGAGCCTCTAAGTGCGTTTCTACTGCACAACAGGGAAATAAAAGGATTTGTAAAGGAAAAAACAATCGCACTTTTTAACCAAAAAATAAAAACTTACCTCGCTTCTGTGTAGTTGCTTTGCGTCTTATGATTGTTCGAGGATGATCTGCGAAGCATAACGGCTCGGTTTTATTTTATAAGCGCATCGCTCAAAAAAACTCTTCCTTAAAGCTTTCAAACATCTTCAACATTTACTAGAAGGCGTGTAATGAGAAAAGGGAAAGCTATCAGACGGAGGTTCCGATCTTGATATAATCCTGAATTTTCTTGACTGATATACATGGAAATGCAAAGGAGTAAATGATGAGAGTGGATTAGTTTTTGATCTTTGCTGTCTAGAATTCAAGTTAAAACCATAAACGCTGACTGTATCGTGTACAACTATTGCGCCTGAGTCTGAATTTCTTGAGAAATTATCGAGAGGGTGACATGGCGACAGAAAGCTCTTTTCGATCGTAAAATTGCATCTAGAGGAGCTTTTAAGTGGGAGAGGGATAGATATACGCTTAGAAACAATCTGATTCACTATGCAAAGAAGTTCAAAACTTTTTCTTAAACGCTAACCAAAACTGATAACTATACAGCATCGGATTTTGATCTCAGGCCATCGTCATTAGATCAGTCCTAAGGGATATGCACCTTCCTCAGCTTTGACAAGATAAAGAAAATTACTAGTGAAGTCTCATCATTTAATTGCACGAGATGTTATGATTTTGCAATACCTAACTCCACTCAGAATAAAAATTAATTTGAAGAATGCTAAAGGCAAAGTGTAGGAAGGAGGGTTGCTTTCTCCGATTGCATTTTGAAAATCGCATCGAAGAGGAAGAAGGGCAATGTAACTATGGTCACCAATGTTGGCCTGATGACAAGTTTTGGATTGCACACAGATTTCAGAAGAATAATAACAAATATTCTGTGGCTAGTTGAATTAAAGGAGTTTTAACAACTTTCCTCATAACCGGCTTCCAATGGTGCGAAAGACGAACGTGCCTGAAAAGGGGCCGTAAGCTGAACCCACACGCGCAAGAGCCTGGTCACAGACTAAACAGACAGTGGTAAGTGGGCGGTAGCGAGGCTGGTAAACTACCTTTTATCGAAACTTCTTAGTCGACAAGAAACGCTCGCTATGTTATTGTTGCACTCGGTAAAAATCATACATAATGATGTTTAATTAGTAACTAAAAATCTTTCTTTCATGTTCCGAATCAGTCGAATTCATGACCAAGGCCAAGGAGAACGTTTCTGGTTAAAATAAACTTTTGAAACAGTATTATATTTCATCACGTTCTTGCCTCTAATTACCTGAAGGGTTCGGTTCTTTTTTTCTAAGAAAAGAACATAGTTTGCATTTTCCTGAGAAAAAGCAAACAACTCTAATGAAGATCACTATGAACTGTCCTGATGAATAGGATCAAGGTTTTAAGGTGACTAAAGTAGCATATTCCAGTGAGTCGACATTCTCCGCTACGAAATAATATTCTTTTTTTTTTTTTTTTTTTTCATGAAATTAACATAGTGGTGAGAAATAAATCGATGTCAGTTGTATATCTTTCAAAAAGGGGAGGTGTCTTATATGCAAAGGGATAATTTGCGTAAAATGACAAAGTTTGCGAGTTGACGGCAATCAATGTTTGTACAGTCTTTGCTTGTGATGTTTACCAAACCATTCTTCGCTGAAAGCTTCATTAAATCATACCCAGTTAACGCCAAGAACGAAAAATTCTATTGTTTGTCACAGCGGTAGGTATTAATGTTGACAAGGCATCCGATAGGCAAATGGTAGGTTTCTCTTTTAATTAAAAACTAAATACATATTTCTGGGGCAAGAACAATAATTTTTTTCCTCAATAACAATATTTCTTACAAGCTTACTCATATTCACATTCAATTTCTTCTTTTCCCTTCCAGACATTTCCTTTTTGTATAATTTTTATTTTCGTGAAGAGGTGGCATTTTTAACGTCAACAGGAAAGATCTATAGGTTTTTATGTCATGTGAATAATGAAAAAGGTTTCCTGATGGGCACAGACTTAGCTTTACGACTTTACTCAACACTGTCGATGATTCATCATCTCACTGAAACTAATTCTGCTGAAAAAAATTATCCGAATAAAAAAATCGATCGCTGGTTTGCTAGATGAGAAAAAAAAGGTGTCGACGGGGGAAACATGTAGGTAAGTCAGGGTTGGCAGGATTTTTTTAATCGTTATTTTCCTAGAATATTTGCATAGTGGCAGGTGCCCTGGAATAAGAGACACGAACTAGGTCACTTCTTTAATTGGTCTCAAGGAAGTCACGTCGCCGACGAAGCGTTTGTCATCTTGGTTCAGTTGAATATTCATGTTCATCCTCTACATAAAGATATTTGAACAGCAACAACAAACACTAAGAACATCGAAGTCTACAGAGAATCACTGTATCTTTACACCGGAAAATTAACTCGCATCACTTCATGAGTTTTGGTTAGTTTTTGGAAATTCACCTTCCTTTACGACCCGTAAATTGCCCCAAAAGTCCGTTGCCGGAAACCGAGTGATAAATACAAAACAGTGAAAACCAAACAAAGATACCGCTAAGACGCCAACGCAATATTACGCACAGATAGAGAATTTTGGAGGCGCTTACAGTGATTGTAACGAAAAGCTTTTTTTTCGATATAAACAAGATAACTATGAACGACTCGGGGAATTTAACTCTTGAGGAAGGGCAATCATCTGGAACTACAGCCGTGGTTGTTGCACAAAGTGTTTTTCTAACGCTAGTTATGTCAGTTGGAGCAGTCGCCAATAGCTTTATTTGCCGATGTATCCTCGTTCATCGCTCTCTGCGCACTATCACCAACTCGTTCATATTTAACCTTGCCGCCACAGACTTACTGTTATCTGTACTCTGCATGCCATTTGTGCTGGTCTCGTCTATCAAAGGGATATGGGTTTTTGGCGAGGTGATGTGCGTTGTCACGGGATTTCTCCTTTCCGTCTTCTGTATAACATCCATACTGACCTTGGCTCTAGTCGCTATCGATCGCTACCTTGCGATCTGTCGTCCTCTGAAATATTGTACACTTGTAACGCATAGAAGCTGCTTGATGATGATCGTGTACGTTTGGTTTCATGCAGCTGTTTGCGCCATTATGCCAGTGTTCGGCTGGGGAGAAGGTTACAGATTTGTGGCTGTGGAATTTATTTGTCGACCTTCATTTGGCAAACCTTCTGTCGACAACGGATACACTTTCTTTCTGTTTCTAAGTTGTTTCGTGGCTCCTTTCTCTATCATCGCCTTTACCTACTTATCCATCTTATGCACCGCAAGGAGACAATTCAGACGGGTTCACCACCACAAAGGATTAAATGTTGGCGAATTGAGCAACGTAACCCAAGGCAATTCACAATTTAACGGAGAAACGACATTTGTCCGCACGCCCGAAAACACGGTGATCGCCGATGAAATCACATCTGCAACTAACACGTCTCGTGCTAAAAAGTTGTATGCCCCGAAAGCGATACGAAACAAACGAAGGCAGAAAGTGCGTGGTTTCAAAATGCTGTGGATTATCATACTAGTTTTTCTTATCTGTTGGAGCCCGTATTTCTTACTTATATTTTACGGTTCCATAAATCACCAAAGTTTCTCGAAAGCAGTAAAAGTTCCCACAACTTTACTGACGTTTCTCAACAGCGCGTTAAATCCTTTCCTCTACGGGTTTTTGAATGGAAAGTTTCGTGACAGCATGCGGAACTTTCTCGGGCAAAATATCACTTTCTGCAAGTGCTGGAAACAAACTGCGACAGAATCACATGTACATCACATTTATTAGATATTTTTTTCTCAGATTCTGTTTCGCATGTATGTGTCTCTTGCGCGTAACAATTAAAGTTGACAAATCGAGGACAGAAGACGGATAGCTGTCGCGGCCTTACATCGAATCATTTGTTTTAATTGTTATTTTACCTTGCAGTCACTCCCTGTTTACAATTGTACCCCCGACCAATTAACGATGAAGTCGAAACAAAGTTTTTCAGTTATGTTAGAGACAATAGATAAAAGGTCTCAAGGCTTCTTTCTGAATGCAAATGATGTGATTGGTTTACCATTTGGCTTATTTCTCAAAACACTAAACGCCTTCGGCTTAGTTTCATTGTGATCGTGTATGCATTTTACTCCGATTTCCAATTTCATAAACCACAGCAGGTGGAGCTTGGCGAAATACATTTCGCTCCTTTGGCAAAAATTATTTCAAGTTAATAAGTCCAGTTTTCCATCGTGTACTTGTTTTATTTTGTTTCGTTGCCAATGATCTTCGTTGTTGCGTTTTGTTTTGTTTTCAAAAAAGGTTTAATATAACTCGAGACTTAATTTCCTCCATTCACCTTCTTATGAAAAATCTGATAAATTTTTGACTCACTGGAGGAAAATACAATTATTCACTGAAAAACCATCCTGCAATCTATTAAACACTATTGTGATTCTTTTGACTCACCAAATTAATTTTATCTTTGTTCTAAGCAATTCCAAGCGCATAATTAATTGAGGAAAAACATTCTGACTTAAAGTTTTGCCTCAGGCTACTTCGTGATAACCTTTTTCACTATTTCAACCGGATGGGCTAGTCATTTTTATGAAGCTTTCCGGTGTTGCTTTTAAAATATGTAAAGTTCTACTGATGGGCTAACTTTCTAACAGAGTTGACCTTAGCCTGACAGCTGCAGAGACATCCGAATCGCAAAAGCGCAAACCTTGGCCGTTTCTTTACAAGGTCATCGTGCACCACTCGCTTTGAAACGGCGTAAAGTTTTTTCGATCTCAATCTTTAGTGCTACAAACGCAGGGCAAAAGTAGCGACTCACAGAAGCATTCAACCCAGCAATATCAACATTAACAAAGGAATAGAACTTGTAGGAGCATGCATGCCCTCGATTAAGAGACACCAAAACTGGAGAGCTGTACGGCAGCGGACAGCTGAGGGAACAAATATTCCGAATACGCTTTTCACAGCTGTTGAGAACGAGCCAATCACAGCGGAGTATATGCTTTGTAACCAGCCGTTACCGCCCGAGAAAGATTAGCAATCTGTTATCGAACTTCGCGGTTACATCAAAAGTGAAAACATCGATCGTGAGACGGTAAATAAAAATTCATTAGCAGAGACAACTCTTATGTCTTTATCTAGCGGATTTATGCCTTTTCCCTTTAATTCGGAATTTTTGGCAAAAATGTCGAAATAAACGTACACCATAGCAAAGATCAAAGATCCCCAAATTTCAAAATGCATAGCATTAGTTTAATTTAAAAAATTGGTTTAAGCTTTGAAAAGCCAAAACTCAACGTTGTTAGAATCTTTTTTTGTACCCTACTCAAAATTCTTTGGCCCTACAATACCTATATTGATGTTATAAAAAATTAAAAGAGAAATTTTTGAAACTCTTCGTTTTACCTTAAAATTCTGGAAATATAGAATCATATACATTTATATGGGAGGTCTCTCTTATGCGTCGGCGAGCAAGGGAAAGCACTTAGTTTAAAGACACAAACCGGCGCAGCAAAATTTGCGTGGTTGTTTAATATTTTTTTAAGCGATGCTTTGTTGATTAACATCCCGCTTTGTGGTATTGCAGTAATGTAAAATCCGGCTTCCTCCAGTATGCGGTGACACGGTTCTTTCGCGATAGTCAATAACCCTTGACATCCTTGTCTAAAATCAGTTACAAATTTAGCTTATTTCACTTAAAAAATTCCACACAATTCTAAAAGGGACTTGAAATCAAAGTTTTTGTACAAAATCAGTTACAAATTTCTTACGCAATAACGGTCATGGCGGAATTATAAGAGTTTGTATTTCACTGAATAAAAAATACGTAAATTCAGCATACACAATTCTAACCGGGACTTTTGAAAAAATTTGAAGTTGTTTTTCGAGGTTTTCAAACATAAGAAAAGCGGTCAGATAACATGCAATACTTGATTTTTTTTTGAGGACACTTTTCAGACATGAAGGGTCGTAAATATTCCCATACAAACTCTTATAATTCCGCCATGACTGTTATTGCGTAAGATAATCATCTCACAGCTGGAGCTTGGGCCGCCTGTGATCAGACATGAAAGATCAGTTTTATATCACTTTATCCACAGGACATGCAAGTAATATGATCTTGTAACATGGTCAGTTGTGAGCGAATATGAATTATATTACTATGTCCGTGTTTCGCAGACTTCGTGTACGAAAATGCTGTTTCTGTAAAGATAATTTTGAAGTGTTGCGGCGTTCAGGGTTTCGCAAAGTCCACCTCTTCGAGTTGTGGGTTGTGTGTCAGTGTCTACTTATATAATGAAAAAAGGGGGTGAGTTTCTGATGCAACTGTGGTGAAGCGTCAAATGAATAAAGGGGGGGGTAAGTTTCTAAATAAACTGTGATGCTGTGTCAATGGGAGAGTATAGCAGGTAATTTAGTGTTAACAACTGAGTTGAAAACGTAAATTAGCCACCGCGAAGGGTAAAAAAGCTAAATTTTTTTTTAACGTTTCGAGCGTTAGCCCTTCGTCGGAGCGATTGGAGGAATTGTGGGTTGAGTGTGGGTTTGGAAAGTGGAGTTACGCCATTGGTGGGAATATGGTGACGAGAAAACAGGAGTAAATTAGTTGAATGAAAAGCGCTCGTTGATTCCGTGGGGATTAAGGGTGCCGATTTGGAAGATAAATTTTTGTTCTAGTGTTTTGCGGCTTTCCGAACTGCCTAGATGTAAGGAAAGGCCGCAGACTGCCATATGTTGTTTAGAATGATTAGGGAATGATTGTGGTGCTGCGTCGTTGGGGTAGAACAAGATAATTTGGATTTTATCAAATTAATGTAACTTGGCCACCGTAAAGAGTTTCTAAGCTGACGCTTCGAGCGGTAACCCTTCGCCAGAGCGTTAGCCCTCCGTCAGAATGTTAGGCCTTCGTCAGAGCGTTAACCCTTCGCTCTGACGAAGAGATAGTGCTCCTGACGTCAGCTCAGGGACTCTATCACATTTTATGAACTTCAATGGCCTGGGCTTTCCTTCTATAAGACTTTAATTCCATCTGAAGAGAGACAGCAAAAAACTGGCTTCCTTAAGCTGCTACACGTGATTGTCATGAGTGTAAACTGTGAATAAACCCTCGTTCGAAGCGCTGCAGGACGCGCGTTTCTCCGCTCGCGGGATAGGGGGTGCCAGGGGTCTGGAACTTATAATTTTTTATGTTAAACCCCTTGCAGAACTCTCGCTAGCTTGCAATGCTCAAGGCCTTATACTCTTCCCTGGGGGAGGAGGGGGAGAAACGCTCCTGCTGAAGCGGTAACGATGATAGCCTCGCAAGCTATCACGAGTGAGAAAACTTTATGTGATCGGATCTGAGAGAAATGGTCGGAAATGAAGATAAATCCAAATGGAATCAGTACATATCCTCGTTTCCCTTTGGATGAATACTTAAATTCTGAAATTAAAAAAAAAAAAAAAATTAGAGTGAAGACGACATCTCGAAGGACGTAAAGAAATGAGCTCGCAACTAAGTACTGGATAAAAAAAAAGTTCAGGTATAAGCACTTTTAAAATCCCAGGTTGCAACTCGAGTTGAGACTGTTTGCTAGTTACATGTTTGGGCTGCCATTAGGGCTTGTCCCGTTTCAATTTGTTGGGAAAAATTTCTTCTGTCCTTTTTGGCAGAAAATTTCTACTTCTTTCTTTCGGTCATTGAAAAGGAAACTTCCTCAGTCACTTTTGCTTAAAATTTTTTTGTTAGCGTCAGAACTTAACCGAGGAAATTTGGATCGACATGTTAACCCTTTTGCCCTAAAATTATAGTTTCTATATTCTCCATACTGTTCTTCTTACATTTCCTATGGCACTGACAAGGAGAATCTGTTCGACAATCAGCAGCCTCTTAAATTGGTGATCATTTTCTTTTATCTATGACCTTTACATTTGATTCAAGAGTGATGTTGTGAGGAGAATTTAGAATCCATTCGCTCCTTGTTCTGGTCGTTACTTTTGAATTCATTTCACTGATTGTTGTAACCTCGACGGGCTTGAACATTGCACGAAATGTTTCAAATCGTTTGAAATAACAAAATTTGTAACTTGTTCAAAGCAACACTCGCGCGATTATACCTTTCAAACTCTCGGGATTCTTTTTTATATCTTCACTCATGAGAAGGATTCAACTGGGGAAGAGTGGTCAGCGGCGAAATGGCGGTCAGTCGTAATTTTCTCGGCTCCGCCATAGTCACTTATCTATATCTGTTCTGTTGTTTAAGTCGCTCTTTAATTTATCTAAATACGCTCATTTTCTGTCCATCTTATGCCCCTGATGATTCTGGAGTTACAAAGACCACTAATGAAGTGGATTTATACCGTGCAAGTTGCTCGTCGTCGATGCGTTTGCTCCGCCATCTTGGATTTTCATCTTCAACAAGATCGCATCGCTACTTCACTGCTCGGATATCTCATACTCCGAACTCCGTTTCCTCCTTTAACCTAACGCGTCTTCGCTTAACAACGAGTGGCGACATCAGCCCGAACCCTGGTCCACTAATTACGTCTTTTACAACAAATCGTCGAGCAGTTAAACATCGAAGCCATCATCATAGCCACCGCTCCAACGTTGTGCAGGTAAACCGCGTATCTGATCTCCATTTGAGTACATCGAACACTCAGCTGACCATGTGCACGTTAAATGCTCGCTCTATTTCAAACAAATCTGCACTGTTTGTTGATTATGTCAGCGAATGCAAAGCCGACCTAGTTGCAATAACTGAAACTTGGTTATCAGACAACGACTCCGCTGTGTGCTACGAGATAACTCCTGCTGGCTATAAACTGTTACACTGCCCTAGGGGTGATCGTAGAGGTGGAGGTACGGCCCTCTTGTTCAGAGATAACATCAATGTTTCCAAGCTCGAAACTGTTTCAAGGATTTCCTTTGAATCTTCTGAATACCTTGTCTGCACTGGCTCCCTACGCTTTCGATTGGCAATCATCTATCGACCGCCGTACTCTGTTAATCATCCTGTGACTGTGAACAGTTTTATTGACGAATTTTCTGAGTACCTTGAATCTGTTATCCTATCTAACGATGTCCTGTGTTTAACTGGCGATTTTAACATCCATGTTGATGATCACAATGATTCAGCTGCTTGTCGCTTTTTGGATTTATTGGAGTCAATGTCTTTAACTCAACATGTGACAGAACCAACGCATGAACTTGGTCATTTGTGCCTCTTCATTTTACTACATTTATAATATTCGTCGGATCAGAAAGTACCTTTCACAGCAGTCAACGGAAACTCTTGTCCATGCATTTATAACGAGCCGCCTGGACTATTGCAATGGCCTATTATATGGACTACCGGACTGCTTGTTGAATAAGCTGCAACGAGTACAGAATGCTTGTGCCAGATTGATTCTTAAAGAACAGAGATTTTGTCATATTACGCCCTTAATTTTTAAGTTACACTGGTTACCAATTAGATATAGAATTGAGTTTAAAATATTGTTAATTACTTTTAAGATTCTTAATTTTTAGCCCCTTCTTATCTATCCTCTCTTATTTCCCTTAGACCCCCTCCAAATATAATTTAAGAAATTCCAGTGATAAGCTTTTACTTAGCCATCCATCATTTAAATCGAAAGCTACACTGGGGACCGTTCTTTTACCTGTGCTGCTCGAAACTATGGAACGAACTACCGCTGGATATTAGGAGCGCAAGAACAGTAAATATTTTTAAAGCTAAACTGAAGACTCACCTTTTTCGTAGTGCATTTCTATAGCTTTTTTTTTTTTTTTTTTTTTTTTTTTTTTTTTTTTTATCTCGTTTCTTAAAATTATTGTAAGTCTATTTTAATGATAATTTTTAATCTTGTAATGCGCATTTGAACATTTTATGGAATTTGCGCACTATAAATTTTTAATATTATTATTATATTATAACTGATTTCAACATGGCTTTGTGGAAAAATTGCCTTTAATCTGCTGTAGACAACTTAGCTTACGCAATAAGTAGCAGGCAGCTAGTATCATTGCTTTGTCCAAAGCTTTATATTATCTTCGCGCTTATAAAAGAGAACAAAAGCGCCTTGGTTTGTTTCAAAGATAAAAATGCTTTCAGAGCTTTTCGAGACATCATTGAATTGTTTTTGCTAAAACAATTGATATAGAACCTCCTATTGGTTGATTATAACCAAATTTATTCATCCCGGCTTGCTTTCTTTCACATCATAAATAATAAAATTTCGCTCAGGGCATACGAATTGAGTCGGAATTAACCGAAAATTTCTCCAACGTTGCCTCCTCTTCACATGTGGCAGTTTTTTGTTTTAGCAGAAATTCGTCGTTTGATCAAACTGAACTGCGAGTTGGTAAAAAAGCGATTCAAAACCAATGGCTGGGAGCGAAGAGAAAATACCTCTAGTTCAGGTAATTATTAATTCTCATGTATTGAATCCTCTCACAGGTAATACCGTGTTCGCAAATTTTATCCTAATTCAGTAACATAGACACCACAGTCAATCTAGTAACTTTACCGACTCAATAAAATGAATTTCCCTCCATTGCATAAGTACGGTTTTGACACGTTTCACTGTGTTGTATATGTTTTTTTTTATAATTTGACGAAGGCAGAAGATTAAAGATTATGCTGATTATTTCAGTCGACCATATACGTACAGATGATGGAGAGCTTCAAAGTTTTAAAATTGAATTATTTGAAATTACCTTCTGGGTACGTGCTATAAAAAAGTATTCGATTCTCTTCCTTCCTAATGGCGTTGCATTTCTTAAAGAGTCTGTTGAATAGAAATGATAATAAAAAAAGTTATGACATTTCGCTCGCACCAGTGAGTTCTTCATTCAACACAACATTTGATTCAATAACATGCAATTTGGAAAAATAATAAAGAGAACAAAAAAAACACGCCTTCTTGTTACGTTTGATTTCTTCACAGCTTCTTCTTGTCAAGGTGACGCTGGTTTGAATACGGCTTAGTAGTAGACTTAATGCGCTCAACGAAAACCCCCTGGTAAAGAGCGCTCATGCGGTCTTTTATCATTTAGATTGGGTCTACCGTCGAGTTATTGGCTCGCATTTTTGCAACTTCTACTGTCACTTAAATTTAATTTTTTGTCGCAGGGATCAAACAGTAAGCTAGAAAATGGCCAGGACAATCAAACTGCGACATCCAACGCTTCGACTCACATCGGTAAAGGAGATGACAGTTCACTCTTTGTCGGCGGGCAAGACGAAGAACATTTATACGACTTCGCAAGTGAAAGTACCAGCCCTGCTGCATCTGAAACAGACAAACGGCAAAATCTGGAGGACACCACAACGTAAGCATTATACCGTCTCATACCCGAACAAATTCCAATCAATATCAGCGTCGCATTATTAATATCAGCCGAAATTTTTTATCAGATCTCATTGATTTTTTTGACTGTCTTCATATGTAGTAACATGCAGACATTGATGCATCTTTGGAGAGGAAACGTTGGAACAGGTATGCTGGGATTGCCTGAGGCGATGATGCATGCTGGGATTGTGGTAAGTTTTGACATAGAATTCTGAAAAGCTGATAGCTAATGTATAACTCTGCTAATAGTAACTAAAGTTCTCTCAACGACTGGATCTAAGAACAATTTATCGCCAACACGGATGTTCTGGAATGAAAAAAAAAAACAAAAAAAACAAACAAAACAAACAAACAATAGTCATAAATACCTAAATCATTCCCCTTTCCCCCTGCAGGTGGGTCCATTAGCACTATTAGCAGTTGCGGGAATCACAATCCATTGTATGCATCTGTTGGTCAAATGTAGTAATATTTTATCTCTGAGGTAAGTGTAGCGCTGTTCAGCTCAACTGGTGTTTCTTAAATGTTACCTGAAACAGTTACTCTAAGCCACTTTGCCTCCAGACCCCCGGCCATGGAAAAAAAAGGTATTACTCCTCCCTCCCTCCCCCATACAGACAGTGTCGGTCCATAGTAGGTCACTTATATTATACTTGAGGAAAAAACCCTTAACTCTTGGACCCATGAGTGACCAAGAAATAATTTCTCCATACAAGATCAATACAATATCAATCAGACAAGATATGAGGATAAAGGTAAATATCTATTAAGGGAATTGTAGTCGATTCAATACCAAATTCTCCGAGCTAACATCATAAGAATTGTACAGCAGACAGTAAGGAGAATTACTGATGAGATCTTCGAGTGGAAGTATTAATTAGCAGACAGAGGGACTCTTATCTATCGCCTGGGAAGGGGGGGAGTGGTTTTCGGAGGATTTTGATTTTTTCACCATAAAACTTACCTGATCCCCCCTCATTGGCAGTCAATTTTTTTTATTATAAACCTCCCTTTATACTCTGTCAGCGACGACTGATCTCCCCCGGACAATAAATAATACCTGGTTCCTTATGTCTCTGCTCTCTTTTTTTTTCTTGTCTCTTTAAGAACTGGAGTAATTTCATTGGGTTATGGAGAAGTTGCGGAGGAGAGCATCAGACGTCATTTTCCAAAGAAAGCTCACCTTGGCAGGTAATCATGGCGACTTCGGTGTTAAAAAATCATCGCATAAGCTTGTTACTCAGGGTCATCCAACAACCAGCCGTCTCCCAGGTTGTTACATGACCACCAGTTCTTCACAAATCTTTGTAATTCAATTTTAAGAAACTTTCACACAAGTTTGATTTGGCATTTATTTTGCATCGATACTCTTTATGATTGGTCTGAATAACTTCTGTCCCCTATCAACAAAGCGGCGATGAAATCAGTTGCAACCTAGTCGGTTCCCTATGTTTTCCCGCCTTCAGGCGAAATACAAATATTTGCTCTGAACTTTTATTGGAATCCGAGTAATTTCTTCCTTTTCTCTAATTTTGGGCCATTATAATTAATTTCATTTGGTCTTCAATTAAAAAACGCCACAGTTACGTTTTTATTGATTCGCATTGATTTAACTCCAGCGGGTATTGAGTGTAACCAGGGTTTTTCGTCCAGTCCGACGCAATGAAACGTTACAACTTGTTCTCCACCAAGACGTGATTTAAGCATAGTTTCTCTTTCATCATCAGACACCTTGTGAACTTTTTCTTGTGTATCTCACAGCTGGGTTTCTGCAGTGTGTATTTCGTGTTTATTGCTAACAATCTTCAGCAGGTAAGACAGACGATTGTTTTTCTCTACTTTTCAAATTTCCCTAGTTTAGAATCCGAATTGTTGGAGTTGTTGTGCACATCATAACTTTGAGCAATAAATTTATCCGTTCAGCCGTCCCATTCAGTCAATAAGTACATGTTATTTTGACCTCTTCCCAGGTCTCCAACGCTCTTGACGTTCAATCGTGGATGGCAATTATGCTTGTTCCGATAATCCTCTTGTCCTTCATCCGGGACCTTCGCACCCTAGCTCCGCTCTCGATGATCGCTAACATTTGCTGTGGCATTTCCTTAGTTATCATATTTCAGTACCTCATTAGGAACATTCAACATACGGAGAAACTGCCAGGTTTCGCTGGATGGTCGAACTTTCCCGTTTTCTTTGGAATCGCTATGTATGCTTTTGAGGGAATCGGCGTGGTATGTTTGAAGTCACTTAGGAGCTTTAGCAAACCACGACGGCGACAACAACGAGGAAGCGACAAAAAAAAGTATTAATGGGCGGAACAATAGCTCAGCATGTTTACTTTAAAACATTGAACATTTCTAAGCTGTTTTCCACAAAACAAGACCGTGAAATCACCAAAACTTGCGTGGTCTGACAACGGAAAACCAGACGGCAAATTTTTTAAGTTTCCATTTGGAACTCAAAGCTGCTCACATATGTTGCGCTAGAGTTGAGGTGTGGTGCCGTAGGAAATGGTAAACACATCCTGCCATTCGCGAAATTCTCACTTAAGATATAGATTCACTTTTTAATTGACGTCTTCCTCGGCGTTGTCGTCCGGACTGCCTAAGTTCCCTACTATTAGTAATAAAAAGATCTTTCCCTAGCCGGGTTGTCAGTTAGAGGGTAACGATTGAAAAAGGAAGAGGAGTGAAAAATTGCGCCTATGTGAGAAAACTAGAAAGGCGACAGAGAATGCAGCCGTTTTACACCCGTCGAACGATCACATTCGCCGCAATCGCCAAAATCCAAGACTTCGGGGTTGTCACGGTAAAATAAGTCGAAAACCTTTTTTGTTTTCTCATCTTGCGCACGGAAACATGTTTCTTACACTGTTTGCCTTGACAGCCAACCGACCAAATTTCTGGATAAGTCAAATTGCTTAAGAACGTCTCGATTGGTGGTGCTACGCAAACTTGAATACCTTTATCATTTTATTTTCCTGTCGTCCTTAGGTTTTACCAATTGAAAACAAGATGGCCACCCCTCAGGATTATCGTTTGGTTCTTAATTTTGGTATGGGAGTCGTCACATTGCTGTTCTCGCTGCTAGGAATTCTGGGATACCTCTTTTGTCAAGACGAGTGTAGAGGCAGCATTACACTGAATCTTCCAAATGAAGGGTAGGTTACTCAGTGAATACTTACAAAATAAGACAAAAGAAGAAAAAGAAAAAAAAAACAGATAACGCACAAATTACAGAGGTGGCAAATTTGCAATTAAGAGCACTATGAAAATGAAAGCGATTTTCGCAGCAGTGAACACTATTTAAGCAGTAGTGAAAATAAATGTTGTGAAATATTTAGGCCTGTACGGGATTTTAACTCATGACCTCTGCGATACCGGTGCAGTGCTCTACCAACTGAGCTAACAAGCCAACTGGGAGCTTGTTGTCATGTGTGGGATCATAATAAACCCGTGAAGTGACGAATAAATGACTACGAATGTATGAAAATCATGCATGTGAACTGCGGATAAAGAATTTTCATATATTCACAGTCATATAAGAACACTATGTCGCATTTCTGCTCTTGCGTGACTGCTCTTCCGCGCTCTCTCGCCCCAGCTCCTGCTGCCTCAGCTATCCGGCTTGCTTTGAGGTAGTTACATCTTAAATCAAATTGCGTTTGTTTTCTCAACAGAATATATACAGGAGTAAAGTTGCTGTATTCTACCTGTATATTTCTGACGTATTTCATTCAGTTTTACGTGCCGATGTTGATTCTCCAACCCCCGATCCTCAAACATGTACCTGAGGAATATCAAACATGGGCTGACTACGGAATCAGAGTGGCGACAGTTATTTTAACATGTAAGTACCCACCGAATTTGAATGAAAACTAATGAGCGATAATTTTGGTCGATTAACAGTGAGTGTTGTAAAAATATCAGCAATGCAACCGCAACCGTCAATCAGAATAAACGGAAAATTAGCCAATGAGAGAACAATAATAATTCTTGAACGCAATAAATAATGACCAGCTTCTAAGCTAATATGTTCACGTCTTATTTCTTTGTAGGCATCATGGCAGTCAGTGTACCTCAACTGGATAATTTCATCGCATTGGTCGGCTCCGTTGGTTGTACAGCTTTGGCTGTTATCTTCCCAATTTTTATTCATGTCCTTACTTTAGCTTCAGAGGGCGACGGACGAATTCCCACTTCTATCTTCATAAAGGATGGAGTTATCATGGTGGCAGGCATACTCATGCTCGTGTTTGGTACTTACACCTCCGTAGCACGTATCATCGAACGATACGAACATGGACAAAATTAATCATTGAACGTCATTACGTCAAAATTCGAAGGCTAACTATTTAAAAATAACTGATTGGGTTATACTTTATACGTTTACGGCATTGGCAAACGGCAAACGTAAACTCTGACGAAGAGGTAAACGCAAACTCATTTAGAAATGTGGAAGACACCGCGCTCATCCACATCGTAGATTGCATCGTTGGACTGAAGAGATTTAACTCGAGTAGTTCTCTCTCTTCATCCAAAAGGATAATCCCTCGAGGAAAATTGCCACTTGTTGAAAGCAAAATAAAACTACAATCGCTAAAAGTACAGGGCAAGAAGTTCAAATTCTCCGTTTGCCATAAACGTCTCACTTCTTTCTCTAATAACATTAACCAGGAACAATTAACAAAAAATTGCGACCAAGTAAATTTCGGTTGAAGTTTTAATGATCAAAAACAGTGTTCTCGAAAACACCTCTACTAACTCAAATTGATCATTCAGTCAGGCATAATTTGTTTAAAAAATATATGTTTGAATAAAAATTATTTGGGTTCTTTTATTTGGCCGCTTTTAGTTTCTTCGTCAATGTATTGTTCTCTTCTTTCATCTGCTTGTAGTCTGCAGTAATTCGCTCGAGGTTTGTTGCTGTGTTCTTCTGACTTTCCATTTCAATCTACAATGATAGAAATAAATAAACCTTTAACCCCTAAGAGTGATAAGCAAATACTTTCTCCCATCAGTAGCACGCCTGAGTCAACCGTTAAGATTATAGGAATAAAGGACACGATCACGAACTCAAGGAGTTCTTGATTGTTGGAAAAATTCTCCTTGGAAGTACGATAGTTCTACCGTACGAAATGTATAGAGACGGGTATGGAGAACTTCCGTACTGATGATAGGTTGTAGAGGGTTAAAAGAGAGTACAACATGGCAGGTTGACCTGTTCCAGGCGTTCAGTGAGTAAAACGAAGCACGATGATAAACAGCGCTAGAGTAGCTGAGGAGTTAGAAACAGAGGGGGGCTGGGTAGGGTCACGTAATGAAACGACCAAAACCCTTTTCGCTTTTTCACTCATCTACTACTATCTCGCCGTTTTCTATTTTGCTCCGTTTAACTAACTGCACGCCTGGAACAGGCTAATGGCAGCTGTGACATTGCTCAATATCAATCTGTGAACTGTCAGTTAAAGCAGACAAAATGGTAGGTAAAATCTGTAGAAGGCGGTGAGGCGCGTGATTGCTTTGGTCAGTTTTTTCACGACTCAGTGCGAACTGTTACGTTACGTTAGGTGTTACGTTACGTTAGGTGTTACGTTACGTTACGTGCCATACCTGATCCTCCAAATCTCGTATTTCTCTCAAAATCGATCCCGTTTCCTCTACAGACTGAATCAGCTCTTTGCAGTTCTGAAACACACGAGGATCGCCGAAAACAGGTCAATAATCACGCAACATGATATCTCTCGACCATTAACTCCTGAAGCCACGGATGGAACCCTCTCCTGATAGGGCGCACTGTCGACTACCCTTATACAAATTGCCTGAAGAATCTCATCTACAAAAACTTTCTCACGTTATGTGATAAACACAATCTTAAGATCTTTAACGTTTTTCGACAACGCAACTGTTTGCAATTCTCTGTCCTTGATACTTAACTTACCCGCAAACATAAGAGGTCATGCGCGCGAGTGCCACGCCTCTCGCGTGTCTTGAGCGTGTGTTCTTTGCGCTTTTGCGAGTGCATTCTACTCAAGCAACACGGAAACAATTATTGTAGAGTCCTCACTAATCTCGTTGTGTTTTTACACCCGTTTCTCAATTCATAAAGAGTTCGAGGTTACATGTCACTAGAGAATTCTCGGAACTTATGCAAAGCCTGGACAGCGTCTTGGGTTGATACAATATTAAATAATTCCCCCACTCCTCGGGCCAACCCCCTCTGCAGTGTTCGGATGCGGCTATGTAAACACGGAAAAACAGTCCCCTAGGGCTTAATTCTATAAAGCCTTTATCGATACAAAAGTACTTTGACAAAGAAAAAGTAATGAATGATTTAAGTTTACCTCGTGAAGACTAGCGAGATATTTATAAGCCTTGCGACAAGACTCGTCTTTTTTGGCATCCTGCAGAAGAACAGGTGGAAAACAAATCTTATTAAACGACAGTGTCACTTCCTAGATTCTGATTAGCTGTAAGCACGCTGCTTCTTCAAGCAGGCGTTGTTTTCGTTACGTCATACCCGCAGACATTATACCAAAAAATATTGCGTCGTACTTGAAGAAAATAGTTTTAAAGCGTGCATAGTAAAAAAAAATATGGTATTCAGCTTTGGAAGGATATCAAGAATCATCAAGGCCCGGGTTTTTTGCCTTCGACTTCAGTAGATAACACTGATGAACCTTAGCTTTGTACTTATACTCCCATGAATGACCAAGACAGAATTTCTCCTTACAATACCAATACAATATCAGGTAGACAAATGACGAGAATAAACCAAAATATAAATTAAGGGATCATTAATTGATACAATACAAAATTCTCCGAACTCACACCAAAAGAGTCATATGGCAGAAAGTAAGGAGAGTTACCAATGAGATCTTGGAGGTGAAAAGGTTAATGATTCATACTGAATCTCATCTAGCATTGTCAATGATTGAGCAAATTTAGCGATGAAATCCAAAGCTCTTATTACGAACCATCAAAACTGACTAAATATGAACATTTTTTTTGAGATTCTGCATTCAATTCAATCTGCAGGGAAATGACAGCTGATTTAACAAGCCACATCAACATTTTTCTTGTCGCACCCGAATATCTGCTACTGAAATATAGTCGTGAATGACCGCTAGCGAATGAAAATGAATGGAAACAATCTAAACTTTCTCAATAAAAGCAGTTGCTTTTCTCTGAATTCTTCTAATTGATTGAATGGTCTTCATTCCGCCACAAAAAACAATCGCTAACTACAAACCCTAAAAATAAGTTCATCCGTGACGGCAAATGTTCGGTCCAGCTTCCCAGATAACTGATTAATTTCCTTTTGAAGATCTTTCGTGTCGATCAAAGTCTACAGGAAAAAGAAAAATTCAAACTACTCAATGAAAACGATAAATTCAATCCTTGGTCACTGATAGGAGATTAAAAAAACGCCTCAATAGAGTTTCAAATGACTTTCAAAACCAAGCTTATTAAGATATTGAGCATTTTTCGAAAGAGTGAAGTAGAACCAGAAGCAATTTACCTCGGCCAATAAAAACGAACAACGCAGGAAAACATGAAGGACTAATTCACGATTGGCTTTGGTGCTCCAACTGATTGGTCAAACAATTCGCACGTGGTTTTTAGGCCAATCACAGAGCCTTTCAATTTCACATTGAGCCAGTAAGAATTCAGGGTAGAAAACAACAAAATGCCCGGCTGAAGCGCGGGAAAACGCAACGGACCAAGTCGCGTTTAATGATTACGTTTTGAATCTGATTGATCGAGTAGCTGGAGCGAGGCTTGGTGACCAATGATTGAGCTTGGTGCACTAAAATCAAAGCAAACCTGGAGTATATTCAACAAATTGAAAATTGTTTTACCTTGTTAATTTCTTCTTTCTGTTTTTGATGTTTCCTACAATTTCCAATATACGCCGAGTGTACGCTGACCTGTTGACATCTTTCCTCATCGTCTCATATTCAGCAATCTTCAACAGAAACAAGAAATGTTTTCAAATACAAGTTAACACTCGACCTCAAGTCGAAAGTGGTCTGTCCCTGTTCTTTGTTTGGCTCTGAGTACCACGCTGCGAAGTATATTTAAAATAGCGACACTGAAAGAAATGTTTCTGAATAGCTTCAGGATTATTTACATTTCGATCGCTGGTGTAGCGAAGAAAACTATTGACTGGGATGCTAGAAACATTGTCGAAGGCAGATGAAAAACCACTTAACCGTATTACCAGCTGTTTATGCAGTTCTTCTTTCCCTCTGGCTTCATCTGCAACTTCTTTCATTTTTTCTCGAAGAGATCTAATCTCTTCCAATTGTTTTTGAGCTTCAGACTAAAATCAAGAAACCAAAAACAAAGAAAAAACAAAGCAAAGCTTATTTTAAAAAAAATGAACAAGCAAATGCAATTATTTTCTAAGAGAAATCAATCACTTTTAGTAGTAAAATCCTTAAGCACCAACTGAATGTCAGTGTCATGTTAGTGTGATTATTTGTTCGCCTGGAGCGAAGCTGAGGGGTCAATGCTGTAAATTTAACGACACCTGTCTATACTTTAAAGGCGATAGAGCCCTTTCCAATTACGTTTGTGGACGGAACCAAAACCCGCGAAGTAATCACATCGCACACCAGAGGAATAGCCATACAGAACACAGGAATGTATTGCAAGAAGCCACTGAGGGTTGAGACAGTGGGTCACACACGAGTGGTCGGCTTCAAGCGCGGGAAAAAGCGAGCGATAAAGACGTGATTGGTTCTTAAATCTGAGTGGTTGGAATGGTGGCATTAGAGTTGTAGACCAATCAATGCAATACTGAATTCGTTTTGACACTCAACTATCAGTAGGTGAAATTTATCAATTGATTTATTACAGGAAAAAGTAGAGCATCATCTTGTAAATCTGTTTATCGCAAACGTTACACAAAGGAATCTCCCAAGTCATTTATGAAGATTCAAGCCCATAACCTATTGAAATGCGATCATCTACGGCTGTGGTTCGCTTTCTTGCGATTACTCAACTTTCACTTTATTTTCACATTATTTGGCGACTAGGTCGCACACGAATACCAAAAAAATGAAAAGTCGCATACAAAAGATGGAAAATACTAACCGCTCTGTTGGCATTGAGCTGTTTCAACTCCCTATACTGATCAATCAGAGGAGCCCTGTGTTGCTCCCACTGCTGAGCCAAGTTCACAAGTCGCTGCGCACTGGAATCTACAACACTCTAGAAATATGAATTTAAAATGATTTTTAGTAAAAAAAAAAGGGGGGGGAAGGGAGGGTTATTAAGGCCGATATGGACAGGGAATAGAAGAGGACTAGTCTGTTTAAAGGCTTGGTACTTTCTCTTGGATCATCGCCCAATTCACGAGGGAAATGAGAGCAGCTAGCGTTATAACGAATGCGAGTGGAAGATGGGGTTTGGGAAAGAGAAAATGAAAACTCCGTGAACCTTATCCAGATTAAGTAAAATTTCCTGAACCGAATATTCCTCGCTGCTCAATCTCGCGCTTGCCTTGCGCTTCCTCGCGAAATTATGAAAGGAAAATGATTGTGGGCAAACTAGGAAAGGAGACGCAATGGGAGGGGAAGTAAATAAAGAGAACTGGACAAAACGGTATACGCCCGGAAAAAAAAAAACATTTTTTTACATGAATTGAACTGAATACCTGTAGTTTAGCGATGTTGTTCTCTGCATCAGGCAGTAAGTCCATCGTTCTTTTCTTCACTTTGTAAAATTCTTCCTGCTCAGAGTTTTTGGTCTTCTGACTGGCGATCTGTTCATTTGCCTGAAATAAAATCATCCACGTCACCACCTCGCATTTTTCAACGTTTTTTGCGTATTGATCAACCACCATAAATACTTAAACTTGATACGTTTTTATCGTCATCGTTGGAATCGTTGTCATCGACACTGATATGGCTATCTGGATTTCTATAGCGCCGTAGGCGCTACAGATAGGGGTAAGTTTCTTAAGAAACTGTGGTGCTGCGTCGGTGGGAGAGTATGACAGGGTAACTTAGTATTATCTATTGAGTTGATAACGTAAATTGGCCATCGTAAAGAGTTTCAAAGCTGACGTTTCGAGCGTTAGTCCTTCGTCAGAGCGAATTACAAAGGGCTAGCGCTTAAAACATCAGCTTTGAAACTCTCTACGACGGTCAATTTACGATATCAACTCAGTTGATAAAACTAAATTACCTTACTCTACAACTTGAGCTAATTAGGGGGCGATTAAGTTTTTTTCTGTTTCTTAAGTGGTTGATGATCAGTTACTGAGCCCACCTGTTGTATACCAGCCAGAGACTTCTTGATCCCCAGTTCATCGCGTTCGATGCCAGCACTCAGTTCAGCCAGTTTAGATTGCAGCGCTTCGAGTTCCTCCTCCCTTTTTTTCCTCATCTCCTACTCACAAAATAACGTTAATAAATCAATAAATCAATAAACACAACAAAAATAAATAAACAGTTTCTGAAGGGAACAGTGAATACCCTGGCACTGATTTAATGCGATCTTGGTGTATGGATCAATCTGATTGGTCTGTTATCTCGTAAGTGATTTGAACCGAAGGGTAACACTTGATATAGTAGTCTGATCGTCCGGGTGAGGCTAGTCCTGAGAAAAACTGTTGTCGGTAGTGGTGACTGACGTCTCGATATCTGAGCGCAAGTCGTCACCACATGAGTCAAGTGAATAGTTTTTGTCAGTCGAGTGTTACAAACCCGTTTGGTTTTGAAGAAAACTGATTTGTCAGTTTGGCCGTGATTTTGTTGGATGTGAGACTCAGGTGATGTCGCGTTGGACGTACGACTGATCTCGTGTTTCGATCCCTCAGGGTAATTTATAAAATAACTAATAGGAACGTTCCGTGTTTACATACGCTCATGTAAAATGGTTTTATGGCCAATCAGAGCGTACTATTTGAATTATTTTACAAAAACTGATTTGTCAGTTTGGCCGTGATTTTGTTGGATGTAAGACTCAGGTGGTGTCTCGATAGTTTCAACTGACAATTTGTTAAAAAGGCTGTCTGAAAAAAAGCGAGCAACTAAGGTTGACCAAAGAGTTGGCCATGACAGGAAAAGAATCTTGACGAGGGACAAAACACACAGTAGCCATTTTACACCCAGCACCATATGCTTCACCTCCTCTGTGTCCACTTCAGGAGGACCTTCCTCAGTGAGTCCTACCATGGCAGCAGCTTTTTGCTCATCCTGAAAAAAAAAAAGGTACTCATAAACAAAAACAAGAACAACAATCTCCTTCAAGTTAAACAAAGCAGATTACTAATTATTAGTACAGCAAATGAACCACTAATTATTTAAAGCTGCAATCCATACTTTTCTTTTTCAGTTCTGAGATCAACCACTCTCTTGAAAATGAATTTCAAGTTAAAGGATAACCTTACTTGTGCAAACTGAAGTTGTTCAGTGTGAGTGAATCTTGATCCTTTGGAAGGTGCAGAGGAACCTAAAGCTTTGTCTGTAAGAAATGAAAAAATACATCAAGTTTAAAACAAAAGTTCTGTCAATAAACCCTGCAATGCCTGAAGTCTCTTCTCTGAAATTGATGATCACACATTAAAGGTTCAAGTTATATATAATCTGACTTACAATGTTTGCTGGTGAAGAAATTTATTTCATTGAAATCGATAAATCGTTTGATGCAAGGTTCTATGCAGATTCCTCTTAACCTGCATAAATAATTTCTGGGAAATAAATTATTTCTGGGAAATATATAATTTCTAGGAATCAATTAATTTCCCACTTTCTAATCTTAACTCATTAAAAAATATATATTAGTTGATAGCATTTTTTTTTCTCATGAAATGATCCTAGACTCAAAAAGTTCTTGATTTTTTCACTAAATCCTCCTTATTTGTTCCATAGGTAACATAGAGAGCTGTATGTTTGAAGAATATACATATACTGATGTTAGAGTGTATAGAGTTAACCCTTTAACTCCCAAGATTTCATTTGTAACTCTCCTTACTGTCTACCAAACAATTTATGTGATGTTAGTTTGGAGAATTTGGAATTGGATCAACCAATAATCCCCTGATTGATATTTTTCTTCTTTCTCATTACTTGTCTGCTTGATATCATGTTTATAGTGTAAGGAGAAATTCTGTCTTGGCCACTACTAGGACTTTAAGGTTAAACTACCTGAAAGGGATGAAACAATGTCACTGAGGTCACCACTTGCTGCAGCATTCAGATCAGCCCTCTGCAGCTCACTCTGTAAGTGCTGTTTGATCTTCTTCTCCAGACGCTCCCTCTTCTGAGCAAGGTATTCCTAAATTTAAGTTATCAGTCAATTGGTGAGTTAAAGTATTTTCATCAAGATGAACCTTTCATGATAAAATTGACTGAGACAATTTGTACAGAGGTAACAAGAAAATAACCAGAAATTCCAAAATCCATACTTTGTAGGGAAGTTGAGGAGAATTATTTTTTGAGGGATGATTATAGACAAGATGTTAATTCTGCAATATCAGATAGCATGGTCAAATTAAATGGCACGGGCAACATTTTTGTTGCAATTCCTCAACAGTTTTGCCCGTAAGCATTGACAGACTCTTACAAGGAGAGAAATTTTTCATGGCCAAGAACACATCAGGGTGACCTGGGCTAAGATAGGAACAGACCACAACATTTTCAGGTAGAGACAGGCATTTGCTAGACATCTTTCCATACCTTATCACCCACAAAACAGATCAGTAGGCTCACTATCAAGCCACAAACCTCTTTAGACAGCCGTGATGCTAATCCACTTTGGTTCCATTCATTTTCCCATTCATTGGCTAGAGTTATAGATATGGCATTGGCTTCTAACACAGATGGTGCAACATCTTGGCGGCAAGATGGCTGGCTTGTAATGAGTGGCATTGAGTTGCTATAGTAAGCTTTTAATTCTGGAAAGATCAGTAAAAAGAGATAAGACACTCAGTCAATTATAAGAACGTAACACTTCAACTCATAAGAGAGATACACACACAAATTCTCCCTACATACACTATAAACCCATATCCTCAAACAAGCAGACCAAGAGAAAAGACAGCTGGAGAATGTTACCTTCATTGATATGAAACCAAATTATCTCAACTGATTTAAAGGGATTATATTGTGGCCAGGGAGAACCATTGATCTGATCAAGAGCTACAGATTGAGGAGCTATAACAGTCACCTCTTCTATTCATCCCTATTAAGAACTCTGTTATATCCATGTTACTTCTTAATTTTTTTCTTTTTTCATTTTTTTCTTTTGGTGTATGTCTAGCCAAGCAAACTGTTATACCTAATTAATAGTTTTTTAAAGTTCTCTAGGATGCTAATACAGCTCAAAAAATTGTGAAGTCTCTTGTTGCTTTTTAACGGCATCACTTACAAAGGCAGAGTTTGTTTACCTTCAGAATACTGGATCCAGAATCGATGACAAAACAAACTATTAATAACAATTTACAAAATACAATTATATTAACCTTTAGGAATTTTCTTGGTTAAATCTCCAAGACCCTCTGGTACTCTCACAGGGCAAGCATGAAATCTTCGCACAGATCTGGCTCCCTTTAAAATATTATGATGATTATTAGACATTAATGAGTCTCACTGATACAGTTATGTAGAGTGGTCTGCAAGTTTTTAAAGTACACTGACAGATGCAAGTTACTTATCAAGATTTTTACTCAATCTCAACTGTTTCCTAGGCTGTTTCTCCAATTCATATCCCTTCTTGAAGCCACCACCGGTACCATTCACCAGCTGGCAGCTCTTGTACATGACACAGAAGGACTTTTCAAAGTGTCACCCTCATCAAGGCCCCCTGCATAACTTGCTTTGATATGAATAAAAAGGGGGGGGGGTACATTCCTAAAGAAACTGTGGTGCTGCCTTAGTGGGAGAGTAGAACAAGGTAATTTTGTAATATCAACCGAGCTGATAACATAAATCAGCCCCTGTTAAGAGTTTCAAAGCTGGCATTTCAAGCATTAGCCCTTCTTCAGAGCATTAATGACAAAGAGCTAATGCTCAAAATGTCAGCTTTGAAACCCTTAATGGTGGCCAATTTATGTTATAAACTCAGTTGATGATACCAAATCATCTTATTACTTTATTAACATGAACAGGATCGAGACTAATGTTGGGACAATAAGAGAAGTCTGTTAATAAAAATGATTGTACCTCTTTGTGCCAAGCTTGGAGCTTGGTTCCACTCCAGCTGATGCTGTCCTTTTTGCAAAATGAAGGAGTCCAAGGTCTCTTAAGCCTCTTGGACAACTCTGCTGATATTCGCCTGTGCAACATTACGGATGAGCCTGGGAAAGCATATATAAACACAGCATGTCAGCAAAATAAATTGGCAAACTGTGGTGAAAAGTGAATAAAATGCTGGGGAGGAGTGGATAAACCTCTAACAGACTGGTTTCTAGGGAGATAAATATACACTGTACAGTCTCTTAGTTGCTTCATGCAACTAATAACATGATTTAGTATATACTAAAACAGTGGATAGCATTGACGGCATGCCCTAAATGGCTACTCTACTCAGACTTGGTGTATCCTTTTCTATTCTCTCTCTGACACTCGTGCAGGATTTGCAGCCGAAAATATTGTAATCGTTGCAGGAATAAATGAGTTAAAATAACCTTTTTGCCCTATATTATCTAACTGATTCAGTATAATTTTACTAACACAACTATTCTCCTCAGTGCCAGTGGCTAGTGGTGAATATCTGCCTACCTGCTGCACAGCCCAGTAAATATCCACTTTTAGTGAATAGTTGTTAAATGTAAGGTCTGGCAAGAAGGACCTTCTTTGTAAAACAAATGAAATACCTAAAGGTTCACCAGCTGATTCTGAACTCTCTTTTGGAAGATGCTCCACCAAAAACATAAACAATTTCCTGATATCAGCTTCATTGGAATACAGAAAGGTCTGATAGCCAATCTCGCCACGGTATCCAACTTCCTATACAAATGAATTCATGAAAATAAAATTAAGAAAAGTAATAAAGGAAATTAAAGTTGCATCAACAAAACAATTTCAATTAAAATGACAGTGGGAGAGAGAAAGTGCTCAACAATGCCAGAGAAGGTATTACTGTTTTCAGTGACATCTGCAAAGACTTGATAGGTATAATAAAACAATAGAGGTTAGATTCGCAGGCATAAATATGTTTCGGGACCATCTCAAAGTCATTTTAGCCTAAGCTGTGAGCTGAGAGTTAAAATGACTCTTAAAAAGGTCCAAAACATATTTATACCCAAGAATATGAACTGTATTACTACTATTATGTCTTTGGAGGACAATCAGAAAATAAAAATGACCACAAAGCAGATTGAACATTCATGCAAGCATGCAAACAGGTTAAAATACACTTTAAATGACCAAAACCTCAATTTCAGCCCACAAAAGGAGCCACAAGGTCCTACAAAGGCATAATCATGGTGTTTATAGAAAAATTCAAGAGAATGAAGTTGCTATATTTGAATTAAAGGTTTTTAGCAGAAACATTTTGAGGGACCTGACCTACACCAAGTCTGCACTACCAAGACACTTTTCCAAACAATTGTCTTAATTTTCACCCTGTAAGCTATTCATTGGTGGGAAACAGTACAAAAAATTTTAAGGAAATTCAAAATACAACCATATAAATTTGACTTGGGTATGGTCTCCCAAGAAAATCATAAAGAAATTTTGATCAGGGTTGTTTCTTTCAAATTTTCTTTTGTCAAGGTTATGAAAATTGTGACAGGTTGTATATGAAAAGGATGGTATCAGTATTTCTTTTAGGACTATACATTGAAAATAACAAAGGAAAAAAGCATAGAAAAACGCTCTCCAATTAAACTGTTGCTCGAATGTAAACTGATGTGCAGATCGGAGAAAAACAGTCTTAAAATTTCACAAACAGAGTAGGTTGATTCATGCACAGACCCTTAAAACTTCTGAAAACAAAAACGCACCTGACAAGCGTTGGCAAGGGTTGTTCCAAGACGGAACTTAGACGACATGCTAGCAGGCAACACAGATGGAATCTGAAGATCTTCTTTGATCATATGAAGACATTTTGATGTTGCTGCTACAATCATGGCTGTGGTAAACTCCTTTAGACTTGAAACATCCTCAGGGATGTCACTATTAAGAGAGTGGAATGTGTTTAAATCACACAGAGGGCTAAAAGTTGGATGTATTTTAAATACAACAGATTCTGCCTTTCCATTGATCATCTCAACCTTGACAAAATGACTACACTTTCTGGAAATTACCCTCCCTGTCGATATCACCCTAAAATCAATATCAGTTTACAAAGCTTAAAATATAAAGCCAAACATGTTTCTGTGAATTTTGGGCATCTTGTAAGCATCAGTCCCTCTCAAATGAAAGGAATAATAAAACAGTTGTTCACAAAGGGTAAAAATTCAAATCCATATTGTTCGAAGACAAAAAATTATTATGAATCTGATACTCATCTTGCATTTATTGGCCTCGTTTCTGAGCAAAATTCGTGAGGGAAAATGTCTCGAGAGGGAGGGGGAGTTGTTTCATTTCTAAGTGTTTCCAGGAGGAGGGGCTGGTCATCAACGAGGGCACTATTTATGGCCCATAAAACGGTAAAGTTTCCTAGAGTTTTTAATACATACATGAACTTATTAACTAGCTTATGATCTTTATGATTCGGTATAGTGGTCTATTGATCTCTTTTGTCTCTCTAAGGACGATATGTATCAAAGCATTTCGAAGGAGGGAGACAGCCACATTGGGGGTTATAAACTAACGATCATACAGCAAGTTTCGGAGCACAACAAGTTTAAATAAAGGTTTAGCGAGTAAATTGCTAAGTTTTCAAATTATCCAAGGGACAACCGAAGAAACAAACAAAATTTTAACCGTACCAGCCGACTTGTCTGAACGTGTGAATAATTATATTGTCCACCTCCTCCATCTTGGAATTTATCTCTATTCTCCTGCGGGACTTGGGTTCTAATTAGTTTTCATTTCTTTCCCAGTCTACTCTCTGCAAAATTTGGATTGCGCGGATCGCGCGCGTGTAAAATTATTTTGTTGTTATTTTGATCACGGTAACTACAACACAAACTTCAGACGTTACGTAAAAGTTTTAAATAGCTGACTACAGATATCGCTGAGATATTCCACATCGCAACCGATTGGCATGAGAAAATTTTAATCAAACGGCTGATGATTCATTGCGCTTTGTGCCCTAGGGCCCGTTTCTCAAAGGTCCCGGTTATTTTGATCACGGTAACTGCAAAACAAGCTTCAGTTGTTGCATGAAAGCTTTAGATGGCTGACCACAGATGTCGCTGAGATAATTCACATGGCGACCGATTGGCATGAGAAAATCTTAATCAAACGGCTGATAAATTATTTTACACTTTGTGCCCCAGGGCCCGTTTCTCGAAGATCCCGGTATCTTAACGGACCCGTAATTTAAAGCTGTTTTCATTCAAGATTGGGGGTTTCAAAAGTTTTAAAATTATACAATTAAACTTTAAGGAAAAAAAAGCAGAATGTAACAGTTATGATGCAGGAACCTGCTCCTCTATTTTTAAATTGTGATTTTAAAATATGCCTTCGGGCTCATAAGTTACTCGGGGACCTTCGAGAAAAGGGCCCTTGGTTAAAAACTGAACGGCATGAAACCCTCACAAACAAAAGACGAGAAATTAATGGGTCACGCTGGAGTTTTAAACATGCACTGAAAAGCGTAATTTCAAGGGGATGTAGGAAATTCAACGACAGTTGTCGGTGGTAGGCTACTTCTGAGGGGATTCACGCTGATTCACGCTAGCGAACCAAGGAACGAATGGTCTTCTATTTTTAATTGCGAGTGTCAGAAATCAGCGGGACGTCTTCAGTTCCGTTTTGAAAACGCTTTCTGCTCGGAAGAATTACGGCGGTATCCTTCATATTTTTAAAATTATAAGAAAACACATTTTAAACGTCATTTCCTTAAAAAGTGTTTCTTATTCGCTCAGCGAGAGGTCTGAGGTCTAGTGGTCACTGCTGTTATTTATAGTCACGGTCATGTCACGGGAAACATCTTGGTGGCGAGGATTTTGACAAAATGAGTATGAAAAATAACCAACAAAGGACTGCCTCTTTGGAAATATATCTAAGTGTTTCTCTCACCCCTACCCAGCGTAAGAGGAATGTCTCTTGGAATACTTCCTATTTGCGAAACGCTTGTTCCAGTCTCTTTTTTCACTTATGCACAGTGTCTTTCCCGCCGAGTAACACCTGTCTCAGGTCTACCTTCACCACCTGAAAGCGATCTGCCATAACGTAACTAACTTGCGTCAGGTTTTTGCCACTTTGTGATAAACTGTCCGGATGAGAGAAATGATTTCATTGTACGCATCAAATTTGGTCGAACGACATTTTGGCTCTTACCTAGTGTAGAAGACACAGTATACGTCAAAATAGAATTTCATCAGAGCCGAAAATAAGAAAACAACGAAAAAGATAGTATACTGACGTATACTATTTTTCTAAACCAAGTAAGAGCCGATATTTTGAGCGCATATATTCGCCGTATCTTTAAAGATTTGTTGGCATTCCTTCCGTGACTGAAGAGGTCACGCGACAGTGTAGCAGTGGCAACTAGACCTCAGACCTCTCACGCGGCGCTTGCGGTTCTCGGGGAAAAAACCATGTTGTACCGATGGCAGCAGTTCGTCTTATTGCAAAACGGATTTGTTTACGTCTGACTGTTGAGAAGACATGATTTGGACCGCTGTTAGAAGGAACAGACTCCTTGTGTTTGTGATCATCGTTTTGTGTCCGCTGATGTATCATTTTCTTTTGGAGAGAGAACGTAAGTTATTAACGTTTATCCGTCTATGCATTTCTGTCACTAACGTGCACTTTTAAGATAGTTTTTCGACGTGTCCTCGGCCTATGCAAATAGGCCCAAGTTGGTGATACGATCTGAGTTGATTGCGCTAGATAATTTGCAGAATTTCAGGATCAAATTTAGATTGAAAACAATGGAAGTGCTAATGCATACCCGCTCGCCAGAACTCGCATAGGGTAAGTCTCTCCAAAATGATCTACTATGCTGGATTGAGTGCTCTAAACGGTTATTCTCAATGTTGTTGTTAATTGGAGAGTTCTCCCTCACCAAACATTTGTCCCTGTCGTTTTGTTAGAGTAGTATTCAAGTTAGGTACGACTGCTTCATAAATGATTGCGGAACTCGTTACGCCGGTAATCGTTTTCCACGATCTCTTAGAGGAAGGCCGATTATTGTTCGATTCGATTTTTTCTGTCACAGAACGGTTTAGTTGTTCGAAAAACTGGGAGAGCATCTGGAGTTTCGCCCCACCGCATTAATATTTCAAACCATACATCAAACTCTAAATTGTGTAGTTTAAAACAGCGCTCAGTTAACCAAAATTTTCACCCACAGTCCTTGGCTTTTTTAACAATCACCTAACTTAAGGGTCAAAGATTCCTTTCGGGAACAGAGATATTGAATTTGAGCCTAAACGAGAAATTCATTTTTGTTTATCGTGATATTCATACATGTTTGTTTGAAAATAAAGCTTTGAAATAACAGCGTGTACTTAGATTCTCGAGACAAAAGTTTCATCATTATTTTTACCATTGTCAACTATCCACTACGTGGTTTTTAAAAAGGAAGATATCGTCAAAATTTTTGTCCTTGGGGAAACCACTAATTGGCTCACCTTCGATATGATTTGGTGCTGTTTTATTTATGCAGTTAATCAAGGAAGCTCGGTTGTCAAGGCTGGATATTTTCATAAACATAATGTACCTGTTTTAAAATTTACTGAAACACTCAAAAATGATAAAAATTATGTATGGCAAATTGTGACGACTTCCACTACATTGTTAGCTCTTGACTCATGAAACATATTTTAAACATGCTTCTTACAATAAGAAATGATTGTTTTTGAATTTATAAAAGCTGTGTAAATTTAAGTGAATACAAATTTCTTTATAGCATTTACTGATAAAAATAATAGGAAATCTTGATATAAAGGGTGTCTCAGACTTCCCACGCTATGTCCAGTTAGTGAATTACTTTAATCAGGAAATAGATTTATTATCTCAGGAATTGAAAGCACTTTACTTTGCTAGGTCCTTCTTAGATACATGTAGTGAATTACTTAATTTTTTTACGGTAATTATATTGTTAAAAATGTACATGAAGAAGAATGGTTTATTCACCTGTCCTCACAGGTATGTGGTGAACTGATAAAGCATTTTTGTAGTTGATACAGCCTTAGTAATAGATAATGCTTTCTAGGAATGTTTTCACTAATTATCATTTTGAACAAATGTTCAGGGAAAATGCAATTCTAAAGAAATATTTTTCCCCTAAGGGAAGACAGGTGGTATGAAAATTTGAAGATATACAATACAATTTATTTATGCCGCAGAAAGTACTTGTAAAACTTGCGGTATTTGAGATAAGAATGATCCCAGCAAAGCGTCCACAACACCATAATTACAGTTTCAAGAATATTTGCCTTTTTGTCAAAAATTGTTCTTTATGAAACATTCCTGTTAGACAGATAGATAGTGTATTAAAAATTACATTGCAGCCTGTCTGCTGAATTACTTAGTCATTTCCAATTCTACGATATAAAGTAATTGTATAATAGTATAAATTGTATCAATCCTATAATGATTTTAAAAAGATATTTCTTTTCACAGTTTTGGCTTAAAATTTAAGATTATGAATAGATAAAAAAAACAGTCTACATTCTTCTGGAATGTATTAAGCATCACTTGCTGGACATGCCAGTGAAATAATAAAAGAGTTTTATGTCCTGTTTGTATGGACATGTGGCTTTCTTTAGGAGTGACTATTTTTCATGCAGTTAAATGCAGTTTAACAGAGTTAACAACAAAGAGCATAAGTGTTCTCTAGTAGTCAGTGGTTTTTGCATATGTGCATGTGTCCGAATTATATGAGTACTTCATTTAAGGCCTTCTTGTATGTGCTTTGAGTGTGAACTTTCAGCGTTGTTTGGAGTGGCAGCTTATTATCCTCTTTCCACTGTTTGTTCAGTGTGACATGTGTCTATTTCCCTTTCTTGTTTGGGAGCTCAAGGCTGGGTGGCTAGGATTTACCAGCCATGGGAGCAGTCTCCATCTAGGAGCTAGCTGCCAATAGTGGAAGCTCCTGGATGTTTCAGGCACCCATTCTCTACCTAGCAATGCAGTTTTAAACAATTGTAAACGGAATGGTTGCAAATTGTAGAGCTTAGGATGATGCAATGATAAAAATTTGGTACAGAATAGACTCTGGTGCTCTCACATAGTTATTGATAATTTGTCTCTGAAATTAATGATAAAATTAAATTTATTGTGTCATACTAAAATGCATCCTGTATACTTGTCTACTTTTATAGCGTTTGATTCTGTTCTTATTTAAGAATTAGGCCAGTTACTTCGGCCATTTTTTAGACATAAATGAATTAAGTTCAATCAAAAATTGGATCAATATCAGTATCTTGGCAACTGCCCACCTACCCCTCCCCTAACCCAACATCAACATTAACTTGTTTTCAATTGACTGTTGTTGAGTTAGGGGAGGGGAGGGGTAGGTGGGCAGTTACCCAGATATCAATATTGATCCCAAAAATCACACCGAACATGATTAATAACCAAGCTGGCAGGAGGCAAGCTTATTAACTTTTTTTTAAGGGTGGCTGAGAAGTTTACATTTGGTTCTCTTGGAAATAAATCTTGCAAATCAAACCTAACATGATTAAAAATCCCAGCTGATATATAACGAGCTTAGTACAAATTTTATGGAATCAGATGTAATTTGATTTTATCAGTTGGGTTGATTATGTAAACTGGATGCCAAATAAAGTTTCTTAAGGTGACATTTCTAGCATAAGCCCTTCATCAGAAAGATTCAATCTAACAGATGAAATTAACAAGGGGAATGTCAGCTTTCGAAACCTCTTATGTGGCCAGTTTTCATTATCACCTCATTTGATATACCAAATTGTAGCACCACTGTTTCTTTAGAAACTTACCTCCTCTATAAGAAATGTAACTGTTTCAAGCATAGCTGACATGTTGATTTTCGGTTAACTTCAAAACAGAAAAAAAAAACTTATTTTTAGGATGGAATTCGTACCTGATACCTTGGAAGGGCCAGTCTGATAGGCCTTAACCCTTTAATCCCTAAGAATGACAAGCATCTAATTTCCCCTTGTAATATCACCCCTGAATCACATATTAATGTCTTAAGAGTAAAGGAATAGATTGCCAACTGAAAACACTCTTGGGGATGGGGCCCTAACAGTCTCCCAAGAAAATCAGAGACAAATCATGATCAGGGTTGTTTTCTCGATTTTTCTGTCACAGAGGTTTTCAAAAATTTTGACACCAGTTATTTATGATAGGTTGTAAAGTTTCTTCAGAGTCCCACCCCTTCTGTTAGAAATGTAACTGTTTCAAGCATGGCTGACAAGTTGACTTTTGATTCACTTCAAAATGAAAATAGCTTGGAAGGGCCAGTCTGATAGGCCTTAACCCTTTGACCCCTAAGAGTGACCAGCATCTAATTTCTCCTTACAATATCACCCCTGAATCACACATGAAGGTCATGAGAATAAAGGAAATGATCACAAACTGAAGAAGCTCTTGATTGTTAAACAACTTCTCCTTGTCATCACTTTGGAAATGTATAGAGAACAGTATGAGGAATATGATTACTGATATTAGGATGGAAAGGGTTACTACCCAACCGTACTGCCTGGTGTTTCTTGGTAAATAGCTTTGTAGAATGATTTAAAGGTAACATTTTTTAATTCAAAAGGAACATCAATAAAAGGTATACCTGGAATTTGGAACAGTTAATACATTCAATGATATTGGACACAGCACTTTGCAACATGTCTTTATTTTGAAAGTAATCAGGAAATATGTTAAAATGAAAGCAATATTTAAGAGCTTTTAACAAGTACATATGTTACAGAATGGCAATTAAACTCTAAATTAAAGCCAAAAAACCCTTGTCTTATTATAAATTGATTTAGTTGGTTTATTGCCTTAGAATAACTACATGTAACATCCTACAGTATATCTTTAGCACTCCTTCTTCAAGACAGATCTCATGATGCAACCCACCTGAAAAACAATCAGATAATTGCAAGCAGTTTAAATGAGAAATTTTCACTAGAAAAAATTGCTCATAAAGGTAAAAATGGGAAAATGGAAAAACATTTTTTTGTACCTCAAACACATTTAAAAATACTATGCTGGTATGTGGTCTCACTTGCTTGACTTTCTCTGTAATTTAAGTATGTCTAAACTTTTTCATAGGACATGGTGCATGTATGTATTAATTTTATAATTTTCCTAACCTGTTTTAACATTTTTTATTTTTCTAGGCTTACCTCAAAGAATAGAAAGTAACCAAATAGATGAAGAACTAATCAAGAAAATACACACTCTGAGAGAAAGATTACGTGATGCAGAATTTCAGAATTCAGCCAGATCTCATGAACTTATTTCACTTAAGGAACAGTTGACTAAATTGGAAGCTGCAAGAAATAGAAGAACTAACAACTCTATTACTCATACTGACTTTAAGAATTCATCCAGGCTATTTTTTGACAATCAAAATGTGCTCCAGTTACCAAGTATTTATAATTTTATGCCTCATCTAATGGATTCTCCTGGCAGCCTAAAGCCCGCTTTGCATGTATCTAAGGACCGCCAAGGAGGTATGTATGTTTTCAAGTGCATCATGTAGTGGAGATATAGAGGATAATACTTGGGTGTGTGGAGTTATGAAACTCCTCTTGGAGTGTTCAACTCGATATAAATAGCTCACAAGTGAGCACAGCGAACAAGGGAGATACAGATTTGAACATAAGAAGAAAAAATTCCATGATATCTACCAGCAACCATGTATTATTTTGTTTATCATATAAACACAATAGCCTTTTACTGACAAGAAATTAAGTTTACTTTTATTGTTAATGAATGAAAATAAAAGGAGTGACAATCCCTGGATAAAAATCCAGGCTCACAATGAAACAATGCCTTGAATCATTGCAAATACAAAAATGGGCGTAATTTTCAATATACAAAATAAAGAAGGCTTGAGCATCACAAAAGTATTTAAGTTGTCTATTTTTTTACTTGATTGATCTATTGAATACTTTGTTTTTTTCAGTGTCTCTAATTTTTGGAATTCCCACAATAAAGCGAGAGAGGACATCCTACCTATTGGATACACTTGCTTCATTACTAGATGCAATGTCTCAGGAAGATAAAGATGACTGTGTTATAGTCATTTTTGTTGGTGAGGTAAATGAGTAAAAAATGTTGTGCTTAACCCTTTAACTCCCAAGATCTTATTAGTAAATTCTCCTTGTTAGTTTGGAGAATTTGGAATTGGATCAACAAATAATCCCCCAATTGATATTTTTCTTTATTCTCATTACTTGTCTGCTTGATATTGTGTAGATAGTGTAAGGAGAAATTCTATCTTGGTCACTAGTGGGACTTAAAGGGTTAAGGAAGGGAAGTATATTTACTCATTAGAAAAAAAGTTATTTATAACAAGATAGAATTATTAATAGTAATTTTCCAGCTTTCACAGTGCAACCTTTACTTGCCACTGGAAATTTTTGTCCATATGTGTCTGTATGATCCAAACTTCATCAGCTAAATGTTTCTAAAGCTCTGAAGACCAGAAGGATTTTAATTCTTTACAAGGGAACATTGCTATTGATTGTATCATTTTGCTGGATGCAAACTATGCAGATCCAGCAAAAGTGCAATTATAAAGTGCATGTATCAAATGCTAAACATTTTTCCAAATTTTTTTTTTTTTTTTTTTTTTTTTTTGCAGACTGATATAGAATTTAGTAAAGACGTAGCTAATGGCGTCCAGCAAAGGTAATAAAATTATTTGGTTTTTGGCTGTCTGTTTTAATCACTGTGTTGGGTAATGTTGAAACTGATATGTGCCCATCTCTTGTTCTGCAGATTTCCTATAGATGTTGGTTCAGGATTGATAGAAGTTGTCTCACCTTCAGCAAGTTTTTACCCAGATCTGGATACTGTTCCACTAACATTTGGAGATTCAAGAGAAAGAGTCAAGTAAGTGAACATGTCTTGAAATCACCTAGTGATGCAACTTTTGTGGAATACATAAGGAAGATGGGTAGAAGATGAAGATCTTACCTGCATGAGTGAGAAGGAAAAATGTCCCAAATGGCTTGGCTTGCAAGCTGTATGTTTAGCAGTACTGTCTGAGCTCAATATATTTTCTTTAAAATCAAGCGATTGGCAGAATATTTCTGTATGTCTCCCTCACATTTCCAGAATCTTGTTCGATTTCCTCAAAACTTTTTCTAAAAGAGTGGGGTGAAATTACAGGAGCACTGTAAGAGGAAAGTGTTAAGCCCAAGAACTCAAAACAACAACCTGGGCCAGGCTCAAAAGCAGACGCTATGATCTTAAATTCAGCGCATTACCGGTAGTTGTTATTTCCCTGCATCTCCTGCAGCTGACTGCCTTACCTGGTGTGGAATCCTCTTTTCTTAGCCATCTTTTATTACATTTTTTCACTGTTTGTTCCTTGTGATTTTGGATACTATTTTGATTTAGGTGGAGAACAAAACAGAATCTTGATTTTTGTTACTTGATGATGTACTGCCAGAAAAAAGCAAGATTTTATGTTCAGGTGCAGTAATTTCTACATTATACATATTTTATTTATCAAATGATTATCACCTCAATGTTAAAAAGTTTAATTGCCTCTTTCTATTTAGCTGGAAGATGACATTGTGGCCACACCATCTTTTGCTTCAACAATCAAAACATTTGCACTTCAACAAGAAACAAATCAGTGGCTTATTTTGGAGTTCTCAGCTCTTGGATTTATTGGTAAAGGTGTTTTGTATGTTTTGTCTTGGGCAAGACTCCAGTCTGACTCACAAATCCCCTTTCAATTTTTTTTTTGACACGAATAACAGGAAAGCTTTTCCGTTCAAGTGACTTGAGTATGGTTGTGGAGTTCTTTCTAATGTTTCATAAAGACAAACCAGTTGACTGGCTGATGGATCACATTTTGTGGGTCAAAGTCTGTAACCCTGAAAAAGATCAAGTAAGTAGTTATCTTTTGTTTTACTATTAAGCCTTTACATGCTAACATCAGTATACATTTTCTTCATACTGTTCTCTTTACATTTCCTACGGTACTGACAAAGAGAATTTCTTTAACAATCAAGAGCATCTTTTAGTTAATGATCATTTCCTTTATTCTCATGACTTAAACATTTGATCCAGGAGTGATATTGTAAGGAGAAATTAGAACCTTGTCACTCTTAGGGATTAAAGGATTAAGTATTAATCTTATCACTCCCAAGATTGTATGAGAGGCTTTTTATGACATGACTTTTTTTAACCCTTTCACTCCCAAAATCTCAAATAGTAACTTTCTGCACTGTCTACCATTCTTTTTTTAGAGTTTTAATTCTGTGAATTTGATGTGGGCCATTGGTTTTTGTTCTCAGGAAGCTTGCAAAGCTTCTCTTTCATGGAAGCTTTTAGGAGCTGTGCACCCTAGATTTCTGAGACAAGTGTCATCAGACACCAAGTGATACTTTTAAGAGTGCAGCTTAGAAGCTTCTCCCTGATACAGAGCACATTTCAGCTGAGTGTCAGTGAGAGTAAATTACTCAACAGGAAATCAGAATATTTTGAACAAAAACTTTTCAACCATCCAGTCTTTTTTTCATTTTGTAAGTGAATTGATTGAATAACAATGTTGACCAGAGAAATTTAAATTTTCTCTTTTTGCAGCAACACTGTGCAAGAGAGAAGTCGCACTTACGAATAAGGTTCAAACCTTCTCTCTTTCAACATGTTGGCAAAGAATCATCACTGAAAGGAAAGAAACAAAACTTAATTGTAAGTCTGGTGTATTTAACCCTTTAACTCTCAAGATCTGATTGTTAATTCTCCCCTCTAGCTGCTAAACATTTCCTTAAAAATTAGTTACGAGAATTTGGTTACAGATCAAGATAACAACTTCTACCCGATAGGTTCAAGTATTCTCATCACCTGTTTGCTGGATGATGTATGAATAGAATTAGGAGAAGTTACATGTTAATCACTTCTGACAATTCCAATTATGTTTTAGGTATCTCTCACAAACTATTGGTTTTGATTTCAATTTATGGAAAAACTTGTTGAGAAAAACTTGCTGTGAGGAATGTTGCTTTAAAGGAAGACTTTTTTAGGAACAAAATGACTTGTATCTATTGTTGCGTGATCTCTAGGATAAAGACTTCAAGAAAGCACCATTGTTCCAAGCTCACTTAAACCCCAAGGCTGTGTCAATTTCATCACTGGAACCATATCAAGGCTACACCATAGACCGTGCATACAAAGGGCAGACATTTTTCTGGGCTTATCCTCCCCATACTGATGATGTCATGAGATTCAAATTTGATCAAGAAATCACAATAGAAAAGTACTGTAACATTTTTAATTTTGAAAAATATACTTTTCATGTTCAAAAGCAGCCTTTTTCTTTGGTTTCCCAACATTTTATAGTTCTGCCTTTACTTTAACGGAGTGATCTTGTCATGGAATGTTTTTGATTTAACGAGAGCTTGAATCCACCTGCTAATGGCACTGATGAAATTGAATTTCTTATGGAATCACAGGTTTCGTTTCAAGTCTGGAAATCTTGAGCATCCTGGTGATATCATAAGGAATGCTTCAGTGGAAGTTCTTCCAGTTACAGCCCTGGCTCAGGCAAAGAAGATGCCAGGTGTGTCATTTGCTCTTTGTTCACTTTTTCTGGTAGAATTTGAAATTAAACTTTCCTTTTTCTTGTTCCTCTTCTTCTTTCCCAAAGGGAGGTCAACCGGAATTGATAAAGTTGATAATTATTTGTTAGGGAAATGCGGCGGCCTTGTAATTAGTGCGCTGGACTCCTTGGCGAGATGTCTGGGTTTTATATCTGGCTCGGTCATTGTGATGTGTTCTTGGGCTAAAGAACACATTGTGATGTGTTCTTGGGCAAAAGAAATATCACAGTGCCTCTTGTCACCTAAGATTGAAATGGGTGCTTGTTGTGTTTAAGCAAAGACCAATGTTTTTAAAATAACATGAAAAACTTTAATTGCTAGATATGCAACTACTAACTTACTTAACTTAATGTAACCTAAACAACACGGACAACTGAATATATTGATACTGCTACTCAAATAACAATACATAATCAACACTAAGTTTGGGGTCTATTCGCAATCAACTCCTCAGTACTGACGTGAAAGCATGAATTTGTCCTTAGAGCCTGGCAGGGAAGGATCACCAGAAGCAAAGAAAAATTTCATGAAGTATGAGTTTCCTTTGACCAGTTACAAAAGTGTTGGCATGTTCACACCTGCTGGTCTTGCCGATGGCACAGTACCCGAAGAGATTGGAAAAGTTGTGGAAATGAGAGTACGTGTACTGGGTCATAACAGTTTGAACTGGATAATGCTAAGTGAGGTAAGGATGAGTGTTTAGTCTGACCTGATGTTAATCCTTGAACCTCCAAGATCTGATTTCCATTCTCCCATTTAGTTGCTACACATTTTCTTATGAATTAGTTACAAGGATTTGTTGTTAAATCAGGATAACAACTTTTACTCAATAAATTGAGTATTCTCAGTAACTGTTTGCTGGATAATGTATGGATATTCTGGGGAGGTGTTATATGTTTATCACTTCTGGGAGTTAAAGTGTTTTAAGTTTCAAAATAGTGCATGGAAATCATGCTGTGTTCATGTGATGCAAGTACTATTGATGGTTATCTTGAAAACATGCAGTAGCACTTCAACGCAAGTTTTTCCTTTGTCTCTGAGAAGGTAGGAGGCCTTGAGGAACTTAACCCTTCAAACTGTGACCAATATCTAATCTCTCCTTACAGTAATACTGCTGAGTCATTCATTAAGTGATTGGCAACCTAAGAAGCTTTGATTTAAAAACAAATTGTCCTTTTCAGTACCAAAAGAAAAGTAAAAAAAGTATGGAGAAAATTGATGCTGATGTTAGGGTGTAAAGAGTTAAGCAAAGTCTGCAAAGGGTCAAGTGCCAGACCAACAGCCGACCTCTCCCCAAGTTGTTTCAAATCTTCCTGCTGGTCGAAAAACACGCATCCTTCCCTCAGGCTATACAAGTAGAGAAGAATAATCTTTTATTTGATATTGTAATCATAATTATTGCAATTGCCCTTTCTTTTTCTTCAGATACACATTGTACCAAAGGGTGCCAGATGACAAAAGTGAAGATACATCTGCAAGGATGGATGTACATAACACTTTATTTTTGCCATAACTTAATTATCAAAATTACAAATTATATTTCAAAAAAGGTTTTTGACGATGATACTCGACTCCCAGAATCTTAAGGGAACTAGCACAAAATTTCAAGTTTCCCATAAAATCAGCCAGATGGCTCTACACAACATTCATCTTATCTTGTGAATGTTAAGTGTTATGGAAAGAGTTTTTCAAGTATGAGTGCACAAATGAATCATTTTTTAATTGGTAATTAGGTTGTAATATTTACATTGAGAGACTGAGAATTTCTTTTTTTCTTACCAGGGAGGGGAACAGGAGATATACTGTAAGATTCTTAAGTAAACAGTTTAAAAAAAATGTAGTCTGTTGTGTTGTTGATAACATCATTTATGCATCAATCCTCCTATAGATCATCAATAAAAACCAATCGTACCTTTTAATATATAATTTTCACGAGATCATATAAAGCAACTGAGATGAAGCATCAGTAGTTTGCTTCCAATTCCGCAGGTTGTTAGTCTACTTTAGACTCCCACATTAGTGAAAACTAGCCTTAAGTAGACAGAGATCCAAGAGTTCTCTGGCTAAAATGTTGTGGTCGAAGCAATTATCCCTGAGATACCAAACTTGATAAAATATTTGCATTTGGTGCTGTTGCCATAGAATAGGGTTTTCAAACATCTTTTAATATATTTGTTAAAAATTCACTCAATTTTCCCCACTTTTAATTTTTATCGCTAAAAAAAGTAGGTAGAGGAATTTGAATTAAATGTATTGTTGAAAGATTTCATCAAATGGATTTTTTATTATTAGGTGTATAAATATTTTTAATTTCTTGATATCTGTTCTGTTGAATTTTAATCTCAGTGTATTTGTACCATATTTCACAAGTTTTAAGGGTTGTTTGCACATTTTCAGTTTTGTGTCTCCATGCATTGTGCAGAGTTTGTTTTCCTTTATTTTCTTTTAGTTAAATCTTTTTTGCAGATTGTAGATGAAGATATTTTGCTTGTTAGTGATACAGCGTTCTACCCTGAATGAGAAACTAGAGTTTTATTGAATTGAATATTCATAATTGATGTTGTTCACTGAAAAATCATTCCTTTTTCACAATGTTATGAAGGTACTAAAATTTATTTAAATGTCTTAAGCCACATCTGATCAAGCTGTTTGATAAAAAAACTATATTTTCAAATTTAATAATAGATCTTAAAATAGGTCTTAGTTCATGTATAATTTACATTGCAGGTGATATTTTAGGCTCTGACAAAGTATATATTATTCCATAACTAAAGAGCATATTTCCAAAAGCTCCAACTTTTTGCCAACTAAATATTAAGCAATTTTCCTTGACCCTTTAACTCCCATAAGTGACCAAGACAGAATTTCTCCTTTCGATATCAATACAATATCAACCAGATAGGTGATGAGAATGAAGAAAAATATCAAGTTGGGGATAATTAGTTAATCCAATACTAAATTCTCTGAACAAACATTATAAGAATTGTATGGTTGACAGTAAGGAGAATTACAAATTTGATCTGGGAGTTAAAGGGTCAAAGCTTCTCTTTCCAGTGTCTCAAGCTGTTTCAAGGTCTCCTTTGTAATTCAAGATAGCATGATATTTTTAAAATAGATTTGTAAGTTGAAGTAAAATGTGGTAGCAATAGTAGCTGTAAATAGCCACTTTGGAAGGTTTTTAGAATTTAGGCACAAGCATGGTTAAGTTATTTTGGGTACATTCAAGGTATTTCATACATTATTAATAATAGTTTGTTAATATATATCTCACAGTAAGTACATGTGCTATGATTGGTCAATTTAGTGGGCCACATTTCACTGTATAACCTGCTGAATTCAAAAGTTTTTTTTTGAAATGAAATATTTTCCCTCTATTTAAACCCCTAGTTAAAAAAAAAAGAGATATCTTCCAAATCTTGTATTCTTGGCCTTTACCGCAAGTTACGGCCTGGGCCATTAATCTGAGTAGAGAAAATTTGGTTCCTTACAAAACATACCTCAAACTCTGATTTGTAAGTGGTATGAACAATTTGTGTTATTTCATGCTTTATGATGTTATCTGTCATCTGTCCATTAAAAGAAATATAATAATATAAGTGTTAGAGAAATCACAATCACTAATTGTTATGTTCATGGACTTTTCTTAGCCTTTGGTTAGGAAGAAATTGCTGACAGCCTTCTTCAATCTCATTACAGTTTTGGTTCAAACAGTTGTGTGTACAGATATTTATGTAGTAATATTAAAATGTTCATCTTGTGGTGTTATTGGTTGAGAGGCGTTTTTCTCAGGTTTTGAACAACTTGGGCAATGGTTGGGAAATTCCCAAAATGATTTACAAACAGATGAAAGTTTCAGTTCCTACACCTGAGTTAACAAACATTTATTGTAATAATTAACTGTTTTTTTAAATTGGTTCTGTTGGTCGAGTCTTTTGTTACACTGTACAGTCCTCATACCCCAACATTTATATTTACATCCTCCATTTGATTCAAGAGTGACACTGTAGGGACAAATTTGAGGCCTGTCTATCTGCGCTTTTTTCAAATCCTTTTTAACCTTTTACATCTTAATATCAGTATCTCTATTCCCTATACTCTTCTCTACATTCTCTTAGTATTGACTAGGAGAATCTGTGCAATAATGAAAGCTTTGTAGGTTAATTTTTGTTTCCAGTTTCACTGTAGAGAAACTAGATGCTGGTCACTGTTAGGGTCTGGAGGATTCCCTTCGTCGGTTCCCCCATCCAGCTCTTCTATGGGGATGCATGTCTCACAATACCTCCCCCAGAAGTAAACTATTTTTTAAGGGGGGGGAGGGGGAAACTGCATGACACCTGAAGGAATGGCAGCTAAAAAGACAGTTATGTCACATCTAGGACTAATCGTGATATTTCATGAGACAAACTGAGACCATCGAAAGCTTTTATTAAAATGACAACATTCTGTTGCTGCAAGTTTTTATAAGAGTTAACACAAGTATATTTAATGTAAAAGATAACTAAAAATGTAGATGGTCTAACTGAAAAAAAAAGTACCTAGTGGGTGAAAAATGCCACAAATTAAACATGTCACTTCAATTGCAAAAGTTACATTGTGATTAGTTCACCATGGAAGCGCTGTTTTACATGGATAAGCTTGTGATTTTGTCCTAATCCTGCATGATTTGAAATGCTCCCCTGAGTCATCCAATAAATATTAAAAAAAAAAATGTGAGGAACATCCTTGTCCATTTTCCAAACAGTTCCATCAAATACTCTCAATGCAACTGTCCTTCTGTAAATTATTTACCAGAAATTGTTAGGTCATCAAGTTTGAATGCCAAGCCACCAAATTGGATTGATAAGCTGCTCTTAGACCCTTATATTTGTTTAACTGCTTATTGACCCTTAAGAGTCTATGAAGTCTGGTTTTACTAACAACTTCAATACCTTTAAGTAAATAACCTACTTGGAAAAAGACAGCCAAAAAAAAAAGATAGCTCAATCACACATTTTACTTATTTCCAAACTACAACTAAAAGAGAACATTTCAACTGCTCTACAATCACATCTTGATATGCAAAAGAAATGCCTCTCTTAAATCACTTTGAACAACACCAAATACAAGGAAACATTTTATCCAGCACAGGCAACACCATCAACAGATACACCTCATAATTCCACATTAATCACATCTGACTTCATTGTATAGCTATTTGACAATCCTAACATAGTCTCAACAACATTTGTAGCTGCAAGAGCTGCCACTTAAAAGACTGGCATTTGTTCTGCACAGCATTTCAAAATTCCAAAATGATCAGCTCCCAAGGGTATCATGCTTCTTTTAGTCCACACACAGTAAGACAAGCCCTTTGCACTAAAAAGAAAGAAGGCAATCAAACTAGTCTTGTCAAACAATAATCCTTGTAGCATTATCAGTGGAGACGTCATAAGTCCTGCAGAGAGCAGAATAGAACTGTGTAACAAACATTAGTTATCCTTCCTTGGTCTTCGTCTTGTTGGCATCCTGCAATCCAAAACATGACACAAATTAAACAAGAATAAAATTACTGATACACTTCAATTCCAATATGATAGCACTTGAAATTGAGGAACAGGATGAACAGTCACTCCTGGCTGTGGGAGTATTAGTTGAGCAAGGTGGAGAGCTTACATGAGTTGAAAACAATGAGGATTGCATCAAAGCAGTTTTAAGTAGGTCTCGCTACACAGTCGTAGAGGAACCTAACAAAGAGCTTTCACTAAAAAAAGTACTTTTTTTTCAATTTCTAACCTTTCAGTTTCCTCTTCATCAACCTCATCCTTGCCAGCTGGCTCTTCTTCCTCATTTCCCTCTGCCTCCTGGAGGATCAAAAAGCCAAATTTAATTCATTTTTCAACCCAAAACATGTTGGAGACATTCCAAGACACAGCATTGCATATATTTAGTTCTCTTAAAATTCAGCAGGAGGTTCACTTCCAATTCCTTTGTCAGGGAATTAAAGAAGACATTATTGGGGGAAAACTTTCATTTTTACTCACCTTCTTTTCTTCTTCTTCTTCTTCTTCATTTTTCTCGTCAGCCTGAAAGAAGAAAACATATGAAGATGGTTAAAATACACAGTTTAATTTTGCTTTTAGCTGTTTCAGCATATTATAATTGTAATTAACTCTTAAGCTCCAAGACAGTGTAACCAAAGACAAATTTTGCCTTACCATATCAACACAATTCCAAGAAGAATGGGTTTGAGAAGAGAGGAAAATGTCAATTGGGAGACATAATGTTTGACTAAAATCCAAATTCTTGGAGCTGTCTTTACATGAAATGTCTAGCTGACAATGCAGAGAATTAATATTTAAATCTAGAGAGTGAATAACAAGGGCAAAATAAATATTAAACCTCACCTCCTCATCACCTGCTGCTGTTTCCTCTTCATCATCGCCTTTTGTCTCTGCCTGTGTACATTGAATGTTATAACAAACCATGTTAGTGATTTACAACACATATCGCGGCAAAATGTGCATCAGGCTGAGAAGTGTTTGCCAGAAGGAAATTGATGAACACACCTCCTCATTTTCATCAGCTGGAACATCTTCAGTTGGTTCATCTGTCTTCTTCTTTTTAGCAGCATCACTCTGAAACCAACATCAGTCAATTACTACTTGAATAACACAAAAACTTCCCAGAACAAATTCCATCGCCCTTTACACCCCAACAGCAATATCCACACTCCCCATAATTTCCTCAGTCTCTAAATTTTGTTTGGTACTGACAAGGGGAATTTGTTTAGCATTTCAGGCTTCTTAGGCCTACAATCATTTCCTTTGCTCTCATGATCTAGTAATTCAGATAATATCACTGTAAGGAGAAATTAGACATTGATCTCTCGTAGGCTTTAAAAGGTTTTTTAAAAAAATTTGAGACAGTTCTAGTTGCCAGAATCTGAAGTAAATCTCTTGAAGTAAATGATTATTTTGACTCTTGCAATAAGAGCCATTTTTTTATTCCCAGTAGAGTTAAGTACCTACTAACAGTTTCACTCTAAATACCTTATTTTCCTTGGACATACCTTACTTCCAGGGAAACAGCAGGCCGCAATAAGGACAAATGGCAAGATAACAACAATGACAAAGAGCACCCAAAGCCATGGCCGTTCATTTGTCGCCTCCAGTAAGTTATTCACAACTCCACCCTTAGAAGAAGAAAGGAAAGAGTTCACTACAAAGAACGGCATTTTAGCAAACTTTACTTGTCACAGGCAGAACAAGTTTTCCTAGAAATCAACTTCAAATCTTGTATTTCACTATGTCTGTCAGTCAACCACTTGTTTGACAATCTGTCAAGGATTCTATGTAATCTATCTACCCTACAGTCTGTCTGTCTGTCTGTTGGTCTGCTGATCTGTCAGGCAGTCAGTCAGTTGCTCTATTGGATGGTTTGTCTGTTTATCTGTCTGTCTGCCTTTCTGATGCATGTCTGCCCATCTATTGGCATCTGTTTTGACTTTGTCATGGTTTAAAGTTGCCTTTTGTGCTTCATTGACTCAACAATACAACTGTGGTTAATCTCTAATAATACTGTTGAGACACATTCTTAAAAATTTATGCTGCAGTAGTGTTCATTACTGCAAAGATCATCATATACATTTATTTATCTGCAGTTCACATATATGATTTTCATATATTCACAGTCATCAGTCATTTAAGACTATTTTTTCCTGGATGAGAACAACTGATAGCACAAGATTGTACAGCATATCATGAAATGAGATCAATTGTTTGGCAAAAAAGTAAGGAACATAAGATTTACCTCTTCATCTCCTCCATAGGTTTCTTTCACATTTTTCTTCACCCAGCTAAAACAGAAAATAAATTCTTCAGTACAAAAAAGAAGAAAATCCTAAATCAGGTTTTGATCAAAGACACATGCACAAAAACATGCCAAAACAAACACACAAAATAAGTTACCCTCCCTGTACAACACAACATAACAACATCCTAGGGAGGAATCTCTGAGTTAGCAAATTTAAGATTCCCCATACCTGTCAGAAGCCCACTTATCAGCAACGGACTTGTCATTGGTGATAATGAAGTTGTCGAAAAGTATATCTGGAGTCATCGACCAGAGTTCCAGACCAACAGCTGCCTGAGGGAGAGGAAAAAAAATTAAAACCATTAGTTACTGGTTCATCTGACAAGTTGTATTAAACCTTAACACTCTAACATCAGTATACAAATTCTCCATACTTTTCTCTACACACTTCCTTTGGTAACAAAAAGGAGAATTCATTTAACAATCAGAGATTCTTAGGTTGACAATCATTTCCATTATTGTCATAATCTTAATGAATGAATCAGCAGTAATAAATGTTATGGGCAAATTAGATGCTGGTTACTCTTACTTTCTCCCCTAAGGTCAGATGACAAATTCTTTTATCTCATGCCCCTCTATTTCATTGTGGGCTATTTGTGAGAATTTTAAGTTCAATAAAGCAGTCATAACCTGCCTGCTGAATAGACCACAACTGCAAGAAAATGTAATGAATGATCACCCCCAAGGAATGCCAAAACCAAATGCCATTGATAATTTGATTGTATTTGTGGTGCAATTATCAAAATACATGAAAAATTGATAAAATTGATAAAATTGATAAAATTGTCTCTGTAACTGTCTAAAGAAGGTAATCAGCCCACTGAAGAAATCAGATCTAAAACGACTTTTGTCAACAAAGTAAACTAAGTTTTGGTTTCAAGTTACAATCATTGAATTTTAAATTAAAAATAGCTGATTTTACTTACAATGGAAGTCATCTTGAAAGGTTCCTTATCTTCAAAGTAATCTGGATTATCAATTTTCCTTGGCTTCCAAATACCCTACAAAATGTACACATGTACAAACCATTGTCAAAACCATGATGCTTGAGAAACAAAATCATTGTATTTGAGCTCAACCATTTTACCTAGTATCATTTGTTGAACTCTCACAACCCATCTCCTCCACCCATATTGATAAACTTATGAGAACCTAGGTGTTGATCCACACATTACTTACTTTGTAGTCAGGATTATCAACCAGTGGCGGGGACCATTTCCCCTTGTAAGCAGGATTATCTATGAAAGGGGCCTTCCACTCTCCACATCCACTCTTCTCACATTTGGGGTTGGCTGAAATCAACAACAACAACATCAAAAAAGAAAAGATCTTATTTAAATTCTACTGTTACCAGACAGTTTGTATTGATAGGCTATGGATCCCAGATCTGATCTGGAAATTGAGGAAATTTACTACAGTCCAAGAAAACAGACAACCTCATTTCACAAATAGAGGAAGACTCATTCCACTGAAACAACAAGTCTCACCAATCTGGGGTGCCTCCCATTCACCATCCTCCTCTTCGTCCCAGTCATCAGGTTTAACACTGTTTGGATCAGCAACATACTCTGGCTCATCATCCAGCCAATCATCAGGTTTCTAAATCAAGAAATAGATGCTTGGAACAACTTTCATCTCAGCTACATGACCAGAGATAGTTTTTTTTTTCACTGATCCATGACCTAAGGCTCCAGCATGTTTTAACCCAAAATATCATGAACAGGATCCCCATCATGTCAAAGAATAACAGCTTTACCAAAATATATTAAAGTTCAAATCAGATCAAATCACCAAATCAGAAGACTTGTTAATTCTCCCCTCCAGCTGCTAAACATTTCCTTTTAATTTAGTTGCAGAAATTTGAAGTTGAATCAAGATAACTTCTACATGTGTACCTGATAAGTTGGAGTATTCTCATTACCTGTGTGCTGCATAATGTATAGATATCACAGGGAGAAGTTTCATGTTAATCACTTCTGGGAGTTAAAGGGTTAACAGTAAGTTCTTGTCAGCAAAGAGTTGTGGAAAAAGTGTCTTCTCAGTATCAAAAAATGGAACAACTAATCAAACCTTTGCATCAGGATCAGGAATTTTAGTGGGAGCATCTTCATCCCAATCGTCAGGCTTCTCAGCATCAGGATCTGGAATCTTTTCTCTCTCATCCCAGTCATCTGGTTTTTTGTCGTTAGGATCATCAATCTCCTTTGGGGGGTTGACTGCGGGAGTGACATCTTCCAACAAGTTGCCTGAATTCACACTTGTTTGGTCCACAAATACTTCAAATGAATTGTCAGGTCTCACTACCAAGGTGAATAAGTGTGTCTTTTTGCCATCAAAAACATTCTGGAAGTTTCCAGTAGGTTTCTTTGCATGTTTCTCTTCGTATTCACCAGTCTTTGGATTCTTATGTCTAAAGATGAAGTGTAGCTGAAAGCAGGTAAAGTAAAAAAAAGAAAATGAGGAAGATGTTTTTATTGTCTTGTCAGAAGCGTCCCCATGAGCAACTGCACCTCAGACCTTTAATTTCCATGCTGCATGACTCTACCAATGAGCTATAGGGACTCTATGGTGAGGAAGGTGGTTAAGCAGTTCACATGTGACAAGTGTCCTGCATACTGCTAGGGTCAGTAATGTCCACAGGGTCATGTGCATAGATAACATAAGATGGAAGGAATGGTAAACTTTGAACATAGAAATAAATTAGTAGAGACAGACATTTTTTTTATTCATCTCGTCACTGGGGCCATATGTAACAGGCATCCTGCATATAGCAAGGAACAAGAATGTCAAAAAGCATTAAGTGTTTAAACCATGGGAGAAGAGGAAAACTCACTTTTCATGACCCAGTCAATCACTGGCCCTGATTTATTTTATTTCATAGCATAACAATAGATGTTAACAAAGTTCCTTCAATCCCCTTTGTAAGCAATGCAGGTCTTTTTTGCCAGTATCAGGGCAGGTAACATAAATTGATAAAAGCTTGGTTTGCAAGTATTCATTCACAAGTTCAATAATATGTTAAATTATACCTTCTTGTCTTCACCGCATTTATCAGGTCCAAACATAATGGTGTATGGACTTTTATCATGGAAAGTTTTCTAGGAAAAAACAAAACAAAAAAAAGGAGTACATCACTTACTGTGCAAGATATTAGTAAGAAAAACATTGCTTGTGCACAAACTTTCTTGAAATCAATTTTGATTTTGATGAAATACATAATCATACCACTTCATAACCACACAACACCCCCACTTTACAGGGCATAACACACAGCAGTTTCCATTTTAAATGCAGGTGAAAATTGGAAATAAATAAATTCAACAGTTCTGCTTGAACTTAATGCTTGAACCAAGGAGTAAACAGTACATCATTCAGTCTGATTGTGTAGTCCTAAATGGAAAGTTGCCTAAGTAAGACAGTGATGGATGTTTCTCATAATCTGAGCAGATGTAGCTATCTGTGTCCTTACCAGGTCAAAAGAGTCTTGTTGAGAAAGAAGTTTGACATAAGCACCACCACATTCCATCGCCTGCTGAAATTTCACCTCATACCTTGATGGAAAATATTAAGCATAGCCAAGTCAATCAAAATCAATAATTATATACTAGGGATCATATGTTTTAACCCTTTCACTACCAAGATCTCCTTGTTAGTTCTCATCATTGTTAACCATACAATTCTTATGAGTTTAGTTAGGAGAATTAGCTATTGGATCAACTGATAATCTCCTGACTTGATTTTTATTTATTCTCTTCACTTTTCTTCTTGATATGGTTAACCCTTTAACTCCCATGAGGGACCTAGAGAGAATTTTCCTTACTATATCTATACAATATCATGCAGAGAAGTGATGAGAATAACGAAAAATATCAATTATGAGATAACTAATTGATTCAATACCAAATTCTCCAAACTAACATAATAAGAATTGTTTGGCAGATAGTAAGGAGAATTACTAATAAGACCTTGGGAGTTAAAGGGTTAAGGATAATAGCTTGGATTTGCATGTTTTACATGTTGTACACATACATAGTTTTACATACTTTCAAATAAGTGTCCTTGTTTCCTGTATTACAGTGAAACTTGGACAACCACGAAAAAACATTTGGGATTGTTATTGTATCAAGAAAAACAAACTAATTGAGGATGAGAAAATTCAACTGTAAGCAGCTCCCCTTGTCAGTTTGCAGTTGGATCTTACCAAATATATCCCACTTATATTTCAGATGCTTGTGGTTTTCTGATTTTAAAAGCAACAGTTTTGAGCAGAAACTGATTCAAAGCTGTCAATAATAGGTGACAACCAGGAAAAGACACAATATTTTCCCATATACTTACTGGACCACAAATGGCTTGTCTTTAAAATCAAAAGGCTTACTCAGCAAGGCTGAAATAGCATGGTGTCGTGCCTTTGACTGAAAAAAAAGTGGAAAAAAAAAGATAGTGAGAGATCTAATGGCTGTAAAGTTCAAAGGATGTAACAATTTGGAACAGATTTGACCAGCAGTGACCCTAAATCATTTCCAGATCTATCCATAATTAGAACATTGACAAATAGATTCCATGTACTACAAATGCCAAAATTTGGTCAGAACAACAGAATGGCACACAAAGTGCAGCGGAGTGTGTTACTGATGTTCAAACCACATTTAGACATCTTCTGTGATCTATTACAGTGCAGACTTACCACAACATAGAATCTATTTGTTTTATATGTTAACCCTTTGAGTCCTACTGGTGACCTAGGCAGAATTTCTCCTTACACTGTCAGTACAATATCAAGTAGACAAGTAATGAGAATAAATAATATCAATTAGGGGATTATTGGTTGATCCAATTCCAAATTCCCCAAACTAACATCACTTAAATTGTATGGCAGACAGTAAGGAGAATTACTAATGAAATCTTGGGAGTTAAAGGGTTAAAGAAGCAAAATGCTGTCAATAATGGCATCATTTATGCATCTGTCTTCCCATAGATCATAAGCAAGAATCAATCAAACAGCATGAAGGAATCAGATTATCATACATTAAATATCTGTATATCTCAGTCAAATTTGAAAGTCAATTGTCATGACCTTAGAACTTTTCCCACTTTGAATATCTGGTATGAATGCATAAATGCAGGAAACTGAGAGATACTTCTAATTTTATGCCAAAAAGAAAAGCACCTTAAGAACAAGTCCAAGATCCCCACTGAATAACTTGGTGGAAGGCTCCTCAAATGACCATTCACCTGTTGTGCAAGTGAAAAATAGTAACAATTTAAAGTCTGCTACAGTTAAATGGCACAAAAAAGAATTTGCAGATCACAAAAACACATGGAGCACATCTCATATTCTTAATAAATAGCTGGAAACATCAATAAGTTTTATAACATAGCTAGTAAATTTGTCTAATCAAATTCAATGGTGCGAGTGTGCTTCATATTCCTATTGTGCATGCTCATGACATCAGCAAACAAATCCCTTGAGAAAAAAAATTTTCCATCGGGTTGAAAATGTTATAAAACAATTGGTTCATACGTCAGCTGTGCATATATCGAGATATGAAGCACTTGGGAAGTTTGGAGAGCACTCAAGAAGCTAGAGTTGCTCTTGGCTACACCTCGAGCAACTCTTACACATCTTTCGTGCTCTCCAAACTTCCCGCGTGCTTCATATCTCCATGAACGCACGCTGACATATGAACCAATTGTTAATTAATGGCACAAAAAAATAATAGTTAAAACAATACAAAAAAAGTGAGAAAAGATATAAAATCTACTAAAGAAATATTTGCCATTTAACTGTTTTCTGGGAATCGCATCATGGGAAGAAGAGAAGGGCTCTTGTTTGTTTCAAACAGCTTCAAAAACACCTTCTAAAGATATCATGGGGACATTTAATTAGCAATAACCTGTCCTGTTTTGGGTTTACTAACCATTCCCAATAAAATGACTAAATATACAATTCATGGAAAACATTTTTTCTCTGGTGGTGGGTCTCTTGGAGAGATCACTTGATAGACAAAGCAACCCTAGACAATGAAGTGTTCTTAAAACTAAGTGTTACCTTGGAGATATTACTGACATTGAAACAATGATTTTTCTTTCCCTTCAACTAAACCTTTGTCCCCTTGCATCTGTGTTCTTAATCTCCATACTTTTCTCTATACATTTCCTAAGGTCCTGACAGGGAGGATTGTTGAACAATCAAGACCTACTTTAGTTAGTGATCATTTCCTTTACTATCATGACCTTCGTGTGCGATTCAGGGTATATACATCACATGGAAAAATTAGAGCAAGTCGCTCTCATAGTCAAAGGGTCATGCAGATTTTCCAGTAGTCAGTATTTCAAATTCTTTAGTTTACCATAAAAATAAATTCAACTTACCATCATATTTGGCAATTTCAACATCAACTCCATCTTTCTTGGCTTGAGATTTCAACCATCTGTAGTTTCAAAGATAAAATACATCTTTTAATGATAAGGTAGCAAAACATTAATAAAGCTCAAGAACTATTAAAACCGTGTATGCTCAATTCAGTTAGCATTTTTCATTGCTAGAGCTTACACAGGGTTATGACAAAATTAAAGGAACTACTACGAGAAAAAGTAGCATTTGCTGGAGACTATAAAAAATTGAGCATAATTGTTACTATCATGGCACGCTAGCAACTTAAGCTTTCTTGGGTTGTCCTAAGTACTTTGCCAGTCTTGGACAAAGAAATAAGAAAATAATTTTGACAATTAACTACCAAATCACACAAACTACCCTCAACTCATTTGTAATTTATACATCCTGTACTATTCAACAAAGTCAAGACTCCATATATGTTTTTTTTACTTTGTTACCATAACTGGTTAGTCTACAGAAACCTTTAAAGGTATAATTATTCAAGTTACAAATGGTACTTTAAATTTTTTCTGATTGCTTTTTAAAGGGGCCTCCATCTCTCAAGGAGGGTGACATTATCAATAAATCAAAAACACACTTGTTAAGATACAGAGTTGATAACATTCAACTTTTACAGTACAACTGCAGTAGTTGTCAATTTTTTTTTCTACATTCATACTCTTTACAATGTACAGCCAGTGTGATACACTTAAACCCTTAGAGACCTGACTTCTAATCTCTCCTTACAGTATCACCCTTGAGTTGAACATAAAGGTTATAAGAATGTGGCAAATGATCACAAATTCAAGAAGCTCCTGATCATCAAACAAATTCTCCATGCTATTACTAAAGGAAATATAGAGGGATGGTGTGGAGAATATAAACACTAATGCTGAGTTGTTAAAGGTTCAAAAGGAATATGAATACAGCTAGTTTAACAACGAGTCCTTAAGATATTTATACTGAATTAAGACACTGGTATTTTGCCTATGACAAGTATAAAGGAAACTTGGTTTTTGTAGAAAGGAAGGTGGGGTATGCAAGCTAATAGTGTACTTTGTGTAGAGGTTTTAAAGCATGCCTTGGTAGCTTCGAGAAACTACAACAATTTTTGTCGAGAAAATTTCACTCCTGATTCTCAGCAGTAGCCCAAACATTGCAACCTGTTGCCTACAAAAACAGCTTTTATTATTTGTTTGAGAAACACATTGAGTTGCATGGATCTCATTGGTAATTGCCACACCAATATAAATATTTGTAGATACATCTGCTACAAAAAAATTCTGCAAAGTGATAATAAACTTTATCAACAACACACTTTTTTGTTAAGGAAAATCTAAAATTTTTTTCTTCCTCTCTTACTGCAATTTAGATAAGCTTTCTGATTATACGTGTGTTTTTGTTTTGAGGAACACTCCCTTATTCTACAATAGTGAAACCGATTGTGTACGCTTTAAAACCATAGCAAATGTCAGAGGGTTCTTGCACCTGTTGGGCTGGATTCACGACATAGCTATCTCTGTACTTGCTATCTACAGATTCCCTAACAAAATGATTCGGAACTTTCAAGTTATCAGAGTCAAGACATGTGCTGCTTATCAAATAAGGAAATAAATACGAGACAAAAAATTTAGGCGTGATGAGTTGACAAAAAACATAATACATAGCGCATCAAAAACCTTGTCGAGCCACTCTAAAGAGAAATATCCTAGATGCTACCTTTTTTTTCAATACAAAGGTGTACAGAAAGCAACTAAGGAGGTGAGGGATATTTTCTGGGAGAAGTTTTTGAAACAAAAACTACTTGACTGTATAAACATCAAGACCTCGTGCAAACTTCCTTTTGCAAGCCAGCCTGTCATGCGTTTACACGCTGGCGATCGCTTAATGCAAACTGCAACAAAGGCCCGCAAACATCCAACAGAGAATGAATCTAACACACGCAATCTGAAAATAATGTTGCTTACCTGTTCTGAAATTCGCCACGGATTGCAAAAGGTTCGGAAAAAAATACGGAGTCTTCATTTTCAAGACTGATAACCGGCGGTTTGTATGGTTCAGTTTCAGGTGCCTTCTTTTTCTCCTTGCCCTGTAAAAACGTAGGTAGACAATTACGTTTACGAAGCGATTCTTCATTTATACAATAATTTTGATACTTTCTTGATCTTCTGGTTCGCTTTCGCTGTCGCTGTCCAAATCTTCTTCATCTTCGACTTCAACATCGTCAGCAGCCCAAGATGACAAAGTACAAAGAAGTACTACAAGTGCCAAGTACACGAGTATCTGTTTTAACCGCATACTGATAAATTAGGGGCTATAACCGAAAATTTCCGACAGTTTTCGATAGTTTAGAGATCTAAAGGGGATAGACAGGAAAATCGAAGAGTCACGCCGCTAAAATACGGCAGAGAGAAATTCAAACGAAACGCGTGGACGTTATTGAATGGTCAAAGTCAGCGACGCATGGCTCCTAAGCCGCTCAAGACTGGGATCGGTTTTTCACTGAGCCAATCACAGGGCTTGTACTATCGGACTATTATGAAAGTGCTGAGAAGTCGCAAGTCACAGTGATAATCAGCTGACGAGGAATCTTCATGTTAAAGAAGTGAGATAATTTATATTTTCCATTATTTGAACATACATAAATCATGAGACTGGAGCATTTTCTAAAGGTAACCAAGCTGCTTCCAAATTCTTTGCTCTCTTTCCAGTATCAAAATACCTGTAGCATAAATAACCCAAAATAACAAAAAATAAAAAAAACTTTGTGTCATGATCATGGTTAAGACACTCTTGTTGCAGACAGAAACATCATACATTTGGCAGCATAATGGGTCAATAAATGCAACCCAATTTATCAACATACACCTGCTTCTTTTCTCTCAGTGTAAAAGTTTATTAATGCAAACAATCCTGAGCACTCCTATTTTTCACTGACACCAGTAGTTTTCCACAGATTTGCATGGTTACATGAAAAAATAATTTTTTATGCTAAAACTTTTAATGTTGAAGCTCAGAAAAAAAAGCTCATTAAAGTACCCCAAATCACTTCTTAGTCATGTTCAAGCTATAGCAGAATCATCAATTCACTTCTAGATAAATTTAGGAGAGTGAGAGTATTCAAGACAATTCTTGTTGAAGTAAGGAAACCTTGAAAAAAATAAAAAATTAAAGTTTTAGATAAACCTATCAAAACTAATGAAAAGGACAAATCCCTCATAAAAATTCTCAAATGTTTAAATCATTTATGACTGGCATAAAACCATCCTGAGTAAAACACTTCTCATGAGCAATAAATTCCTGTATCTATTGCACGCCAATCTTGAAATCCAAACATTTTTTACATGGAAAATTTTAAAGTTGGAAAGTTTCACACTCAGCTGCAGCTTATGTTCCCCCCAAAAATCACTAATAGGCTTATATAAAACTGAAAACTAACAAAAGGGATTGTGCAATCAGTGACAAAGACTAGAAATCTCTATCAAGATTTAGCAACCAAATAACTCAAACACAGTGATACATATCACTTTTTGGAATAACTATGGTCATCTTTTTATGTGATCACATGATTCGCAAACCCAGAGCAATATGCATGACTAAGAACTATCAGAATAGAGGACCTCCTTTACCTCTTTGGTGTCACCAAAAAACTTGGAATCATGGCAGGATTGCATTTAATACTGCCCAAATATGAACCATTGAAAATTTATGAAAGGGGTAAGTTTCTAATAAAACTATGGAGATACATCAGTGGGAGAGTAGAACAGGGTAATTTAGTATTATCAACTGAGTTGACAACGCAAACTGGCCACCACGAAGAGTTTCAAAGCTGACATTTCAAGCGTTATCCCTTTGTCTATTTGCTCTGGGCTCATGCTCAAAATGTCAGCTTTGAAACTCTTTATTGTGGCCAATTTATGTTATCAACTCAGTTAATAGTACTTAATTACTCCATATAAAATTTACTTCCTGGAATATTTTTAGCATATTTAGGCTCTAGATTAAAAAGAAGTGCTTTTTTTTTAGATCAAAGTTTGAACCTCCTATAAAAAATTCTTTAATCCTCCCCCCCCTTCCATAATGGTCAAACATAACTTCAGTCTATGGGGTGAACTGTCCCATTTATCGATGGGCTTGCCACAAATTCAACAAAGCAGCTTGAAGGGAATTCACAAGGAGCACCATCCAGTTCAAGTAAAACCAAAGAGGAGGGTTGTTGATTTGGTGAGAGCACACTGGCTGGAACAAATAAAGTCTCCTGAGGACCAACTACAGGCCAGTAGCGACCCAGGTTAAATCCATTGACAAATGCTTGTCCTTTGCTCCACCCTGGAAGCTGAAGAAATGTGTCAGATGCATTTCCTTTTGGGTTTGGTGGAATCTCTCCATGAAAAAAAGATGGTGCAAAGTCATCAGCAGCAAAAGGGTCAAGAACATTGTTGTTGGATTCATTTCGAAGGAGAGAAGTCAAGTTTGAAACAACATTGGCCAAATTTATTGGATAGATTTGCCAATTTGTTAAGATATTTCCATTGATTGTAACATTTCCAACAATTCCTTTTGGATCACAAATGGAGGGTCCATAGTTGATTCTCCCAACATTCTCCACAAGAATGTCAAGCTGCAAGAATTCTCCAATATGTAGAGTGATCTCTGTCTGATTTGGATTGCGGTACAAAGTACCTTGACGAACCCTTCCAACATAGATAATGGCTCTGTCACGGGCTACACTGGTAAAAGATAGGGTAACAGTTGATTGAGCAAATCCCTTTGGAATCTCAGTTCTGTACAGAACAAACCCATAGTTCTGTTCAATCTGTTCCATGGTTAAAGGAAATGTTGCATTCACTGGGCCATATGGAGCAGCAAGCTTGGGCACAAGATCAAGAAATGTTGAGATTTGTGTCATCTGAACTTTGCCGTATGCAAACTTGGTTGTATTAGCTGGGATAGGAATTACAGGAATGGCTTCGTGCTTTGAAATTGTTTCACGCAGAATCATGAATTTTGTGGTGGTGTCACCTGCCTCTGTTAAGGGTGCATCATAGTCGTAACTGGTGGGATTGGGATGAAGAACTGAACCACTGTATTGCGCACCATTCATAAAACCAAAATTGGTACCTCCCTCATACATGTAAAAGTTTACAGATGCATTCATAGACAAGATTTTGTCCAGTGTGTTGGCGATAGATGTGGCTGACCTCATCTGGTGAGGTTTTCCCCAATTATCTAACCAACCAGCATAGAACTCGGTGTTGACTAGGGGTCCCCTAGGAGAAAATTTGCGCATGACAGCAAAGGCACTTTCAGGGTTAGTTTTAGGTCCAAAGTCAACAGTTGCATATAGAGACGATACCGTGCCACATTGCAAGTACGATTCCGCGTCACCGTCAACTGTAAATAAAATCACATTGTTCCCTAGATAATACCTAAATAACTGTGCCAGAAGTTCCATGTAAGCGTGATCGCAAGCTGGGAAACTTCCGTATTCGTTCTCCACTTGGACTGAAATAATTGGGCCTCCGTTGTCATACAAAAGCGGTTTTAGTCGCGGTAAAAGAACTCCCATCCAATTCTCTACGGCCATGATGAACTCTTTGCTTTCCATTGACCTCAGTGATATTGATGTATTTTTTAACAGCCAAGCTGGAAAACCCCCAAACTCCCACTCGGCGCAAATGTAAGGACCAGCTCTTACGATGACAAGAAGTCCAAGACTGTTTGCAAGCTCAATAAAACTCACGATGTCCGCGTCTCCTTCAAAGTTGTACTGTCCATAAACCGGTTCGTGAATATTCCAAGCAACGCAAGTCTGAACAGCGTTCAAACCGCCTGCCTTCATCTTCATGAGTCGATCTCTCCAGTAGAAACTCGGAACACGAAAGTAATGAAAGCTTCCGGATATATAACGAAATGGCTCGCCGTCTTTTAGAAAACAATCGTTTTCGTAGTCAATAACGAATGAACGAGATTCAGACTGTCCTAGGACAGCAAACAAGGGCAGGAGGATTGCCCAGATGAACGCCATGTTCGAGTAGGTAATGGTTTTAAATCCCTTCATATGATAGTATCAAATTTCAGTCACACGCTATTCAATGGCAATTGTTCTGACACTGTTTTAGAAGCACCGATTCACTTCAATTCAGTTTCTTGTTTTTGAAAATGTTCAACACGCGTTTTAAGACGTGCAACTTAGCAGAGGGTCATTTATTGGATCAGAATATGCCGACAAGGTAGTGAGGTAAATTTTTGTGGCTGCCACTCGCGTTCACGTGACTGAAATCATTAATCACTGCATCAGGGACATTATTTATAGCCTGTTGGGGGGAAGGGGGAGGGGGTGGAGTAGTTTGGGAGTAGGATCACATCGATTATAGGGGGAACAGAGGCAGGATCAGAATAGAATATAAAGGGGGAACCATGGGAAATTGTCTGCCAATGAACTGCCAATCATTGGAGCATCATGGGAATTTTAGAGCCATATGGAGGATCAGAATGTATGGTGACACACCCGAAATCCCCTAGCCCCTGTCCCCCAAGGGATAAAAAGTGATCAGTTCCTTAGTCTAGTCTCTTAGTCTTTCCACGCAGGATTGAGGAGGGGACGGTTTGGACAAGGTTCTGTTGCTGTACATTTTGTAATGGGGTCTTCACTTCTTTTCCACAAAATGCACCAGTTGACCCGAAATTTGGTAAATATCTCTGCTCACATGATTTTTTCACCCCCCTCCCCCACCAACTCATCATTGGTCTATCGTTTCTTTCCAGTTTACCCAGTTTTGTTTGGTTGGTTTGTGTCAGCTTTCTAATTTTTTGTTCATATTTTTCTTAATTGTTGAACACTTGATCTTTAAATGGAATTGCCACCCAAACAAATATTTTACTCTTTAACCCCTTAGGATGACTAGCATCTTACTTTTCTTTACCATTCCACCCCTGAATCACTCAGTAAGGTCACAAGGAAAAAACTTATTGACACCTACCAAAGAAGCTCTTGATTTTCAAACAAATTCTCCTTACAAGCACCTTTGGAAATGTATAGAGAACAGTACAGAGAGAATGCATACTGATGTTTTGGTGTAAAGGGTTAAATGTCCACATTTAGGTTTAGTGAGAAAAAGCAGAGCTCTGGAAAGGAATAAAATATGCATGCCAAGAAACTACAACTAACTGCAGTGATAACAATAAGCAAAATTCATTCCCCACTTTCTAACAATCTCAAGCATTGACCACTAACAGTGAAGTCCTCTCTTCCACTAACAGCCATGCTGCAAAATATTATTACAATTTAAATAACAGAAACTATATTTTCATTTGATTTATGATATGTTAATATGTTATTTGATATCTAATATCTCTATAAAGCAAATTAACAGTGCATACTAATTACCAAATTAATTCTACTAAATTACAGGAAAATTATCAAAACTGTACCTCTCCCTACAATCCAAGCACAACCTTTGCCTACTATTGGGGCTAAAAACACTTATTTAATTGAAATTAAAGTACACGAGGATGATTGGTTTGGCCCTAGTGCCAGCATGGTTCACTTCAAATGTATATTATCTAATGCAGAGGACACATAAAGTAAAAGCATTTCTCAACTAACTGTCTTGGTTCAGACTGTTAAGGAGACACTTGATCTTTTTTTTTTAATTGATTTATGGCCCTATGCAACTTACAGTTTTTATTGCAGCCCACACATTAAAGATAATTGCAGCTACTACAAAAAGACAAACATAAATCTTTATGATTCCAGTAATCATCATTATGTATCACTGACATCTGCCTGCCCTACCAATTCCTTATCGAGGGAAATGTATTTATGTGGTAAGATGTACTAGGAAATTGCACATCCAGCACTGGAAAAGATTTATGATTTGTAGAGCCTTTGGATTGGAACACTATTGCAAGCCCTGATCATTAAGAAACATTTGTAATTATTACTGACTTGAAAAAAAATTTTTTCCACTGAGAGTGAGGGCTGAAGAGCACCCCCAGGACCCTCCAATAGTTATACCCTTGCTCACTTTGATTTGAATGTCTATTAAGATAAACATGAAACAAGGAGTAAGACTGGAAAAGGTTGATGCCTTTGTGTTCTGAGAACTTCTGACCTTGTTAGCAGTCACCTTCAAAGAAATAAAACTGGCTGTTTTGAAGTCTAGGGTAGGGTGACATCAACTTGTTATCTTATAAATTGTGGTTAAATCACGGTTTGAGATTTCTGAAGATACTGATATCCACCTATAATTGTTCACAAGCATTGACTCTACATCTAAGTTATTAAAGTAGGTGTTCAGTGGTCAGTCTGTGTAATTTTCCAGCAAGAATGCATATCAAACTCCCACTAATTTTTGATCTAATGGGTGGACTTCTCCATTAATGGAAGGGGTTGCCACAAATTCAACATAACAGTTCTCTGGATATTCACATGGAGCAAGATCTAGTTCAAATATCAGCACACTTGCATTCTGGTTGGCTGTAAGCACACTTGCAGGCACATATAATGTGTTCTGCGGACCCACTACAGGCCAGTATCGACCCAGGTTGAAGCCATTGACGAAGGCTTGGCCTTTGTTCCAGCCTGGCAGTTGAAGATATGTGTCAGATGAAGAGTTTACAGGAAATTCACCGTAGTAAAAGGATGGAGCATATTCATAATCTGAATTAAACATATCTCTTTGCTTCTTGTTGTCATCAGATTTGATACAGAGCTCATAAGAATCTGAAAACAGATTGTCCAAATTTATAGCATACATCTGCCAATGTATGAGTACCGTTCCATTCAAAGTAACATTACCAATGATTCCCTTAGGATCAGCAATTCCAGTATTACTGCGACCCATGTTCTCTACAAGAATGTCTAGCTGCAGAAAGTTTCCAATTTTAACAGAGGCTGAGAGTTCATCTTGATCACGGAATAATGTGGCTTGACGGACCCTTCCAATGTAAATTATTGCCCTGTCATGCAGTTGGCCACTGATTTCCAGGACAGCAGTACCAGACTCATAAAATGATTCTGGAATTTGTGTTCTGTACAGAATAAATCCATAATTTTGTCCAATCTGTTCCATGGATAAAGGAATTGATGAATACACAGGGCCAGAGGGGGCAAGCTTTGATAAAACTTCAAGTAAAGTTGACTGAAGAGTCATCTGGACTTTTCCATAAGCAAACTTTGTTGTGTTAGCAGGGATTGGGCCAACTGGAATCATCTCATACTTGGCAATTGTCTGCAATAGGATACTGAACTTTGTTGATGTGTCACCGGCCTCTGTCAAAGGAGCATCATAATCATAGCTAGTTATACTTGGTAAAAAGTCTTTGGGCTCGGCTCCATTCATAAAACCAAAGTTTGTGCCCCCCTCGTACATGTAAAAGTTAACTGAAGCGTTCATAGACAGGATCTTGTCAAGAGTTTTCGCCACATCTGTTGCATCTCTTGTTTGGTGAGGAATACTCCAGCGGTCAAGCCAACCTGGGTAAAACTCAGTGTTGATCAATGGTCCTTTGGGGGAGAATTTGCGCATAACTGCGAATGCTTTTTCCGGGTCTGTGCTGTCTCCAAAATCTACCGTGGCGTACAGTGTTGGCAGAGTACCGCACTGAAGGTCAGCCTCCGAATCACCATCGACTGTGAAAAGAATTACATCACTACCAAGGTATTCGCGGAAAAGCTGCTGCAGAAATTGCATGTAATCGTGATCACAAGCGACGAAAGAACCATACTCATTTTCAACTTGAACCGAAATGATAGGTCCGCCATTTGCATACAAGAGAGGTTTTAGCTTCGGCAAAAGAACGCCCATCCAGGACTGGACATAGCTTATGTACTGAGGATTCTCCGTAGATCGTAAACTCATTGATATGTTCGACTTCAACAACCAAGGTGGAAACCCTCCAAACTCCCATTCGGCACAGATGTATGGACCAGCTCTTACGATTACAAGGAGTCCAAGGCTGTTTGCAAGCTCAATAAAACTCACAATATCTGCGTCTCCATCAAAGTTGTACTGCCCATGAACTGGTTCGTGAATGTTCCAAGCAACGTAAGTCTGAACAGCGTTCAGACCGCCTGCCTTCATCTTCATGAGTCGATCTTTCCAGTAGAAACTCGGAACACGAAAGTAATGAAGGCTTCCGGATATGTAACGAAATGGCTCTCCATCTTTTAGAAAACAATTGTTATCGAAATCGATGACAAAAGATCGTGGCTCAGAGCAGTGTAAAGTGCAATAAAAAGCAGCGAAAAGAAGCGACAACCTTGCCAAAGTGTGGGCCGCCATTGTCAAAATCGCAAACGAAAGGCTTGTGAAAATCATGTGACATACCGCTAGACAGCTGGAGCTGATGTACATGAAAGTGAAGACCCCAGGTATGTCACGCAATCAGTGTTGATCAGCCAAATGAGTGAGACTCTGGGAACCAGCGGGCTGCAGGGGAACGAGGTCGTGAGAACTGTGACAAAACCGGTCTCGATAGGGGTTAGCAGTTGCGCGTAAAAATTGGCTAATTTTAAATGATGGTCATCAAAATGTGAACCGTAAAAAAAATGTAGGTGACAACTAAGGAATGATATTAACTGTTAGCGGTAGAGTGTTTAAAATTTTTAACCAATAGCAGAAGCCCATCATGCCATTAGCCGTAAATGCCATCACCCCATCGAGACCCTCTTGAGGAAGAGGGTTTACCTGAATTCCAAATTCCAAGCTGAGAAAATATCTGATTTGTCGGCTAAAACATGGATAGTAAAATAAATAAATAAATAAATAAATAAATAAAAAATTTTAAAAAAAACTTGGCTTGAAAAATTACCGTATATCATATAATCAGATTTCTGACTCGGATTGGTTGTATCTTCGCTTCAATCGTAGTAGAAATACATTCTTTCTCAGCCGCCGTAAGTCTGACAAGGTTGTTTTACTTTGAGTTTTAAACTGGCTTTTTTTTCCCTCTGGTGAAAAATTTCGTTTTTAGCTAAAGGATATACATTACCGACGATCATCTCATATACGAAGGATTTCATTTATTTGTTATTTGTTTATCAATTATCATTCACTTTCTCCTCACCTTGCCACTTTGATCGCAATGTGTTTGAAAAATTTTCTTGTTCTGATTAAGTTTCCCTAGAGACCAGCCGCAAGCGTACATCAAGAGTTAAAGACGAAGGCTTAGAACTGGAAAAAAAACTTGAAAATGTATCCGGGCTATTTCTAGCTTGAAAGTCGACGAGGAAGTATTTTCAGCCATTGTAAATTATTCATAGTGTACACGTCCGAGGAAACATTTTCCCGTTTCCGCCTTAACCAAACTCAACTGGATACTTGGGATCGACTTATACCAGCCAATACCATGCTCTGTCTTTAGCTTTCATTTCAAAAAAATTAAAAAAAAATTACTCCCTGATCTGCCATATGAATATTTAGAACTGTCAGAAACTTTAATGAAGTATTCAAATTACTTTTCTTCAAGAAGCAGCCTCTTCTAACTTTATAAAATTCCCACAGATGTGGATATTTAAAAAAAACAAATTATGCTTCTCCATATTTCAAAAGAGTTGACATATTTGACTTGGGTTGAATTTGACTCATCCTTCGTGTATCACGGTCAATAAATTTGAACTGCGGTTCTTCTTCTTTAAAGTTATTGATTACATGGTTTAATTTAATTATTTGCTGTTATAATGAAAATCAGCTGCCTACAGATTGTTTACTCCCTTCAAAAACGATTATGCAAAAAAAAGATTGCACCTGCCTTTTATTGCAAAAGAAATTATCACATCTAGTCAGACACTTCTGAAAAGCAAAGTCAAGATATAAAAAGAGAGGTAGATTTCCGAAACTTTCTCAAGAAATTTAAGCGCTTTCCTTTCGCCACCAGTGGACCTGGACAATGAATATGAGCTGCCCGGAGGTACATCTCAGCAATGCAGCGTCTATTGTTTTATCACTGTGGTTCTCCTTATCTGGTTTAGCTGCTGTATTTGGAAATGCAGTTGTGTTGTGGTTGTTCTATAGAAACGAGTCTTTACGAACAATGTCCAACCGATTTTTAGCCTCTTTGTCTGTGGCAGACTTTTTAGTTGGACTTGTTATAGACCCTGTCTGGATCGTGATCAGATGTTTGATTCAGCCATCAGATACACACGGCATAATGTTCTACGTCATTGAAATGTTATGGATTCACACCACCACTGCTACGACATACAGCGTGTGTTGCGTCTCAATCGATCGGTTTATTGCGATAAGGTTTCCTTTCCGTTATCAGCACATGGTAACCAAGAAAAGATGCTATGCCGTGATAAGTGCAGTGTGGTTAATCTCTTTGCTTGCTCCGTTCTCAAGGATCCTGGTAAAACATGGGGAATACATGATGAATGAAAACCTATCGTTGTGTTTGATCGTTACAGCTTTTGTGTTGCCTCTGTTTGTAATAACTTTTTGTTACGTGTTGATTTTCAAAACCGCCAGAAAACAATTTAGGAGAATCAGCTTAGGAGAAAATCTTCAGGACAAAAATATAAAATCTCGAACAAAGGAAAATTTAAAAGCCATAAAAACAGTAGGCGTTGTTTTAAGTGTTTACATCGCTTCTTGGCTGCCAAGTATGGTTTTTCTTGCGATTCAATACTATTATGTTTCAGAAAATCTCAAGTGCGCCGATGAAAAAGTATACTTCGCTGTATGGCCTTGGGTTGAGGCAATCGCTTTTACCTCGTCCGCAATTAATCCCTGGATATATTTTATCAGGAGCGAAGACTTTCGCCAAGCTCTTCGCCGCAGCTTTCCTCGTTTGCCAAGTTTCTTATGAAAATTGAACCTCAGCCTGTACAAAGTGACATTCCAGAGGAAGAGTTGAAGCTCTAAAGACCAAAATTACAAAAACAGAACATTTTTATGCTTTATAAAAAAAAAAAAAATCTGTCCGTCTTAGGACCTGATCATTAGCGTTTCCAGCACTCCACAGAGTTTTCTTTAACTTTGCGTTCTTATTGGTTCTTTGAAATGCATTTTCTTCCTTCTGATTGGTTGTTTTGACTACTCTCGTTTTTTTTGTGTTTCACGATATTAAATCG